CTGAGCCCTGACCCTGGTCACACACTGAGCCCTGACCCTGATCACACCCTGAGACACGACCCTGGTCACACCCTGAGCCCTGACCCTGGTCACACTCTCAGCCCTGACCCTGGTCACACCCTGAGCCCTGACCCTGGTCACACTCTCAGCCCTGACCCTGGTCACACTCTCAGCCCTGACCCTGGTCACACTCTGAGACCTGACCCTGGTCACACACTGAGCCCTAAGCCCGGTCGCATGCTGAGCCCTGACCCTGGTCACACCCTGAGCCCTGACCCTGGTCACACTCTCAGCACTGACCCTGGTCACACGCTGAGTCCTGACCCCTTCGCACACTGAGCCCTAAGCCCGGTCGCACGCCGAGCCCTGACCCTGGTCCCACTCTGAGCCCTGACCCTGGTCACACGCTGAGCCCTGACCCTGGTCACATGCTGAGTTGTGACCTGGAGGCTCCTAGAGCAGCTGAGAAGGGTGTAGAGCTCCCAGCAGGGAGCATTCTAGACAGAGCCAGCCCAGATCCCGGCCAGCCGGGTGACATTCCTGCCCACCCTAGTATACATCTGCAACTTTGCAGAAAGTTTCAGCCTGGGTCTCCCCAGTGGGGTCAGGCAGAAACTCTAGGAGGAGCGAATCCCCGGGGGCCAGGCATGTGTTCTGGACGAGAAGCACAGGTGGGGCCCCTGGGCCTGAGGACAGAAGGGAGTTTGGTTGGGCTGGGCCACAGCAAAGGAACTGGGCTAGACCCAAGGAGGGGCCCAGGGCGTGTGCGCTGAGTGTCTAATCCAGTTAGCTGCCCCCAGCAACAATGCCCGACGACTGAGGCAGGGGGACAGTGAAGTGCAAATTCAGACAGGCCTGGCTGCTGCCCTGGCGTCCACCCAGGCCTCGCTAGGTGACCTGCCTACGTCAGCCAGCTGCTGGGAGCCTCCCCTCCCACAGCCAAAGTCAGTCGTTGGTTAGTGCTGTGTACATGCGAAGCGGTAGCCAAGAAAATAAGACCCAGCAGGCAAGACACCTGACACGGGCTGGGCGCTCAGGGAAAGCTATGCGCCCAGGGAGGCTCTCCCAGTCAGGGGCGAAGACCAGACCCTAAATGGAGCTGATCCCACAGGAGAGCCCAGGGACCACAAAAGGGCCACAGGTTGTTGGGGAGTCCCCAGACCGACAGAATTTCGACCATGGGAGGGCAGGGGCGGGGCCTCCCCGGCAGCAGGGAGAGCAGGAGCAGGGTCTGGGAGGGGAGTGAGATGTGGAGCCTCTGGGGGAGATGGAGGAGTCGGTGGGGCTGCAGGGGAGCCCCGAGGGAGTGGGCACAGCCCCGCAAGACCATGGCCTTGACCGCCTGGCAGGAGGCCCCGGGGCCCATCAACAACTCCTCTGATCCCAGGGTCTGCTCTGGCAGCTGTGGCTTGGAGGAGGGGGTGACAGTGTCACAGGTGGGGCACACCCTGGGGAGGCTGAAGTGCAGGCACCCTGGGGGCTGCGTGCGTGTGTGTGCACGTGCGTGTGTGCATTTGTGTGTCTGTGTCTGTGGTGGGGAAGCAGTGACTAAAGCCACACCTGAATCATTGAGCCCAAACTCACCTCGCTCCTGTCTAAGCATTGGGCAAGGGCTGACCCGCCAATTTCCCAATTTCCTGACCTGCAATGGGGCCAGGTGAGCCCTGCCTGCACGGCAGCCCCACTGGCCCCATTAGAGATCAAAGTGTACCTGCCCCTCCAATGGGTTACCACAATTAGCATCCCTGGCCCCTCCCCGCCCCCACCCTCCACGCAGGACCTTTCTGTTGACCCAGCTCTTTTCCTGTCTTTGTTCCCTTAAGCCTCTGAGCACTGTGGCTGGTTGTCCAGACGGCAGTCTCCCTCACCACATCCCCACGTGACCACCTCAAAGCAGCAGGAGGTGGGGCCGGGCACCCTGGGAGGATTCGAACCCAGAACCCCTAAACCAGGAATCTGCCCTGGAGACAGGAGTGGGGACCCAAGGCGGGGGGAAGAGGGGGAGTCTGACAGAGGCAGGAGTCAGGAGAGCCCCACCCTCTGCCACTCCCTCCCAGGCAGTCTGGGGGGTCCTCACCCAAGCACTGCGGCCGGGTCTCCTGGGTGGAGGGGAGGAGAGGGAAGGTGAAGAGCTCCAGGCCCAGGGAATTACAGAGTGGGGTGAGGTCCCCCAAACCCTAAGAGGAGGATCTTGAGGGTGCAGCAGGGGTCCCAGGCTGCAGGAGGTAGAGGTGGAGGGAGGTGAGGAAAGAGGCAGGAAGGAGTGGGAGGGGAACCCACAGAGGGATGGGGCATCCAGGTGGAGGTGGGAGGAGCCCCAGAGGGCGGGGCGGGTCTCTGCACTTCTGCTGCCAGCTGGAAACCCAGTCCTCACGCTAATCTGCTGGCTGACTGGTGGGGCGGCCGCACTGGGTGTCTGCTGTCCAGCCAAGGGCAAGCGCAGAGTTCACGGTGCGGGGACTGGACCATGTGGCAGAGGCAGCTGGCGCTGCTGGTGCTGGTGGTGACCACCTGCGGAGAGCTCGGTGAGGGGTGCAGGGTGGGTGGAGGGGACAGTGCCCCAGTGGGACAGAGGGAGTGGAGGAGAGCAGGGACGTTGGAGAGATGGGGTGGTCCACCTGGTGCAAAGACAGAAGGGAAGAGATGGAGAGTGGGGTGGGACAGGCGTGGGGGCACTGCGCCCACGGCCCAACCAAGGCTCAGGAGGGGTATGGCATGAAGGGGTGCCCCCCCACCCAGGGCTGAGACTGGCTGGGTGGGCTGGAGTCCACGGCAAAGGCCCTGGGTGCCAGTTGGGGAAATGCATTTCATCGGGGGCCGTGGGCACCTGGGGAGGGCAAGGTCGGAACCCTGCTCCTGGTTCTCTGCCATGGTGCGGGGACAGGGTGTGAGGGCAGGTCCCAGAGGTGCCTTGGGGCAACCAGGGAGGCACTGGGGGCAGGGGGATGGAGACGAGCGAAGCAAACCCAGACATATTGGGGGACCCGACCTGGGGTCTGAGAGAACAACTGGGGGAGACATCCCAGCCCTTCGGGGCCCCCACACTCAACCAGAAAAGGTGCTGGGTGGAATGGGCTCCAGCCAGATGGTTCTGCCCATTTCCCAGAGGGGGAAACTGAGGTCAACCCGAGAGACACCGTGACACTCAGGGGGTGGAGGCGCCTGTGGCCTTACTGTGCGCGTGGGCTGCTTGGGCCAGTTGGAGCCAGCCAGGCCTGCTTGGGCTCCCGTGGCCGGGGTGGGGCACTGGGGCAGGAGGGAAGAGGAGCAGCCTGCAACCCACCCGACCCACCTGGGTCCCGCCAGACCGCGGCTCCTCTCACCTCCCCTGTTAGGCTGGCTCCCATGGGCACGCCCAGCCGACCCTGCACCCCACATGCCTCCCCACCTGACCCATAACCTGCACTGCAGCCCTTTGGGTCCTGCACTTTGCTGATGAAGACACTGAGCAGGTGACCTGCCACCCCGAGGCCCCCCCCACCCCTGCAACGCCTTTTACTGCAGGGACGCCAGGGGGTCCATCTCCCTGCGCCTCCTCAATGTTTCCAAAGCTGCTTGGCCCGGCAGGTTGAGCCACCTCCCCCAGGGGCGCATCTGCCTCGGGACTCAGGGACCCCTGTTCGCAGCTCCTGAATCTTCCCGGAGGTTTAGTCGGTGGGCAACTGGACCCTGGGTGGTGGTGTCCCCCTCAGACCTGGGCCTCCAGGACAGAAGGCTTGGCAGGGGCAGGGCCTGCCTGACCCGTCTATCGTCCCTTCTTGCCCAGCGGTGGCCCTGCGATGCTACACCTGTCTCGAGCCCACCGCCGTGGCCAGCTGTGTCACCATCGTCACCTGCAAGGCCAACGAAACCATGTGCAAGACGACACTCTACTCCCTGGAGTTAGGTCAGCAGGCACGGGCGGGGCAGGACTGGGTCCCAGGGTCAGAGTTGTCCCCATCCCAGTCACCACTGGTCAATTCAGCCCCCTCTGGCAAGAAATCCCTGTGCAAGGCGCCGTGTGTCCCTGGGCATGGTAGGCGCTCAGCCGACGGTGGTGGAAGCAAGAGAAGGGGCTGGGTCACGGAGGGATGAGACAGGGTGGCGACCCCAGAAGTCCTGTGTGAGGTGGCTGCCAGGGCAGGTGCTCGAGGGCTGAAGGACGGACCGCCCGGCCAGCCCTGACTGGTACTCCCGTGCCCCGCAGTGTACCCCTTCCTGGGGGACTCCACGGTGACCAGGTCCTGCGACAGCAAGTGTGTGCCCTCGGCTGTGGACGGCATCGGCGTGACCCGGCCCGTGTCCTGCTGCAACAGTGACCTGTGCAATGTGGACGGGGCGCCCGCCCTGGGCAGCCCCCGCCTGGCCTTTGCCCTCGTGCTTATCCCCTTCTTGAGCCTCGGATTCTAGAGCCCCTGCCCTGCGAAGCCCGGCCCCGCAGCCCCTGAAGAAGCACTGCCCGGCCACCTGCACCAGGCCTCCTGCATCTTCTTTCTGGGCAGGCACCTGCCCCCTGCGCGGGTGGGGGGGCTCCTGCTGTGTCTCTGGCCCAGTCAGCCTAGGCCTGTGGCCCCCTCGGCCCCTTTCTCAGCCCCTCCATCTCCAGGTCTGCCTCTGCCCCGCCCGTGTCCTCCTGGGCTCTCTCCTCGCTCACATCACTGTCCCCTCCAGTGGTCTCCCCTCCATCTCCTGGTGACATGGTAACGGAGAGGGGTCCCTAGGCCTGGGACACACACCCAAACCACGCAGGTCTCTGCCCTCCGGGCCCTCAGGGGCTGCAGGGACCTGACTGGGGCAGGGCAGGGGTGGCTTCTCGGAGGAGGGGCGTTAGGGCCAGGCCTTGAATGAAGGAGAGATTGGCTGGGTAGAGGAGGGCTGGCCAGGCCAGACGGAAAGAAGGTCCAGGAGGGCCAAGAGTGGGCCGGGATCTGAGATGGCTTCATGAAGCACCCCATGGCCCACTCAGCCGGGCCCTGGGCAGGGTCTCACCCCGTGGTCAGGCCTGTGGTGACGTGGTCCCCCTGCGTCATGTGGCGAAGGCTGCTGCTGCGAGGAGGCTGGCAGGCAGCAGCCCCTGAACATCCACCACCTGCTTCCTCCAGGCCCACCCTGGAAAGTCCACCTGGGCCCTGCTCTCACCAAGCCCCACTCCCTGTGCCCAGAGCAGAGGAGACCTTCACTTCGCCTTGTTCTTGGGCCAGCACCAAACCCTCCAGGCCATCTCCCCAGAGAGTCAAGTGCTAGACAGGCCTCTCATCTCCAGAGGGCTGCCTGAGCCTCGGTCTGGGGTGAGACTCAGCCCGTGCATGCGCGCACGCACACACACACGCACACACAAGCACACGCACACATGGTCCTATAAACACACAGCAAGGGAGCCTGGGCACTTGAGGAAAGACGTGACCCAGCCCTCCCACCCAGCGCTGGCTCCTCCCCAGGGCCACCTGAGAGGAGAGCTGGAGGGGGTGGGTTGCGAGGTAGGCCCCAGCCTGACCAGAAGAGGATGAGATCACCTGGCAGGGGCCCCTCATTCCCTCTGGGACCTGCCCCTCCTCTCCGCCCCTTCCTGCCCCTGCAGTCTCTCCTGGGCCCCTGGGTGAGTCAGCCTCCAGGTCCTGGGAGGGGGGCACAGTGTCCAGGATCTGCAGCCAAGCTGAAATGGGGCTGGAGAGCCTGCCTTCTACCACAGCAGGGTGCCCCCCAGGACACAACCCTGAGTCCAGAGAGCCCCCTACCCCTCAGCCATCACCACCTTCATGGATTTCCTGCTCCTGGATGGAGGGAGGCAGCAGCCAGGACCTGAAGCAGGTCTGTCCTGGGGCGAGGGACTCATGGTCAGGCACCATTGAGGGACACCCCATGCCTGTGAGGGAAGAAGAGACCGATGGCCTAGAAGGCTCCCTGTCCCTGGGACCCCGGAAACTCCACACCTCTGCTCCCTGTGGGCAAGACCTGCAGGCCAAGGGGCTCTGTGGTCCTGAGCCAGCATCCAGGGGGCAGGACCCCACAGCCCAACGACCCCACCGCTGGCCCTTAAGCACACGCGTGTGTCCAGCACAGGCTGACTGCACAGCATGGCCACCCTCCACCCAGACAGCTCCCTGAGGCAGACCAAGGGCAGACTCCGGGAAAGGCAGGTGGCTGGTAGGCCAGGAACGTTCAAGAGCCATCCTAGATGCCGCCCTCTGGGGCCGCGACTCAGACCTTTGACTTGGTCAAGGGGGAGACGCTGTCCTTGGCCATCCGTCACACCTCACCGGGCTCTCCTCATGTCTCCCACGAAAGTGAGGAGCACGGTGGGGTCACTTGGCCTTAGAGCCTGGGTTGAGACACACACACACACACAGCCCAAGAGACAAACAGGGGAAGGCCGTGTGCCCCGCAACTGGCCGCCACTCCACCTGGAGCACCCTCCCTGCCATCCTCCACCTCTGAGGTCTTCCGCTCCTTCAAAGCCAAGGCAAGAGCCCTTTCTAGGCAGCCCCCCAACGGCACACGGTCTCCCATCTTCGCGCCCAGACCTGCTTCTTGGCACACCCACCCCCCGCCGCTCCACGTCCGCCTCTACTGTGACCTTCACTCGCTAGTTCTCACAGCTGCTCTCTGAGGTAGACGGTCCTCTTCCTGCTTTACGGATGAAGGAAAGGGAGGTCAGCGTGGCTTGAGAGTGGACCCAGTCACACAGGTCAGTGGAGCCAGGACCCACTCAGTCGATCAGGCTCCAGATCGGACACTCCCTGGCTCCTCTCGAAATGTCCTGGGTGCATTTGTGGACCAAGCCCCGGAGGAGGGCCTTCCCTGCTGCTGTCTGTGCCCGCAGCTGCCATGTGTGGCCTGTTTGATTTGCAGTAACCGCGGTCTCTCCATCTGTAAATGACGTCCTCCCTTTGTTTCCTCGGAACCCTCCCTCAGTCCCATACAATTTGCCTCAGCCCACAAGGCCAGGTCACTTCTGCCCTCACAATTGCCCTGGGTTCCTGGTCCCATCCTACAAACAGGAAATCAAAGTCTGGAGGAACAAGGGAGTCTCTCTCTTAGAGACAGCAGCAAAGCCAAGATTAAAACCCACACCTTCTGGGTGCCAGCCCCGAGCTCCTCCCAGTGTGTCATCCTGCGCCAAGACTGAGGTGTGGCCCCTGCCCTAAAGCAGGGCCCAGTCATGACCCTCCACACAGCAGAGCACACACCCAGCCTGCCACACACTCACACCCTCTCATCCATCACCTACCCATCCACTATTCTTCCATCCACTCAACCACAGTCTTCCCCACCTTTCCAACCACCCATCCCTCCATTCATGCATTCTCCATCCATTCACTCCTCTCTCCACCCCTCCACTCTCTCAAACGTCATCTATGCACCCATCAACTCATCTATCTCTTTTCAACCACCCATCTATCCATCTATCCACTCATCCAGTCTCCTACCCATCTGTCTTTTCAACCATCCATCCTTCCATCCACCCATCCATCCACTCACCAACCAATCCAACAATTCATCCATCGGTCCATCAGTCCATCTGTCCATCCGTCCATCCATTCATCCTCTCCTCCACCCATCCATCCACTAATCCACCCACCTGTCCATCCATACAACCACCTATTAGGCCCTCAGAGGACAGAGAAACCAGAGAGGCTGGAATACCAGGAAGGACTCTGGATAAGGAGCACCTGGACTGGGCCCTACAGCATGGGGGAGATTTGAGGCTAGGATGGGAGACCACAGAGGGTGCCCACTGAGAGGAGGAGCACAGGCAAAGGTATGAGTATGAGACAGAGTACGGGAGAAGGCAGGTAGTGAAGAAGGCCAGAGGAGACTGTCAGGCCAGGAGACTAGGGGTAGGCAGAGCCCTTTTGCCTGGGGCCTGAAACCAGGAAGCTCTGGCTTGATCTAAAGGCCATTTGTGGCGAAGGGCAGTGATGAGGGGGCCAGTTCCGGGCCCCACACCCATCAGGCCAAGAAGCGGGCCCACTCCACCCCACGCCTCCCCGGGCACTCACCCTCCTCTGCACCTGGCCTCTGTGCTGGTGCGCACCTGTCAGGCATACACCAGGTGGAGGGCATCTGGGTGTGGAGGAGACCAGCCTTGGCCCTGCCTGGGTTTGAGACAGACCTGGGTCCAGGCCATGGCCTGCCAAATGGGGCTGCAGTCCCTGTATGACCTCCCTGCTAGGCTGGACTAGGATGCAGAGAGGGGCACCTGGCGGGCTCCAGTAACAAAGGGCCAAAGCCACCCTGGTCCTGGGTCTCCAGGGTCCCCAAGATGGGGGCTGCCATGGCCTATATGACCCCCAAGAGCAGAACCAAGGCTCAAGGGGCTCAGCAGAGGGTAGGTCTGAGCTCAGGGGGAAGAAGGGCCTTCTCCGTCAGAGCTGCCCCAGGATGACAAGAACGTGTGGGGAGGGGTGAGTTTCCCAGTGCTGGAGGTGTGCAAGCAGAGGCAGGGCATGGTCCTCTGATGGGGGCTCCCAGGGAAGGCCGTGCAGAGGGGTCCCACTCCCCGAGGGCCCGCCCACCCATCGTCCCGCCTGCTGCCTCCCACTTCCAGCCTGTGCCACCCTGACTCACAAATGGCTTCCACTGTAGCCAAGGGGCGGGTGCCCAAGGGCTGGATATAGATCCCCACAGGAGGCCGGCTGCCTCTCCAGCTCCTGAGCACTGGGGAACGGTCTCTCACGGCCAGGCCGTGGGGCTGCTGCTCATTGCAGCCTTGCGTGTGCTCTGGTGAGTGGGGGGAGGGAGCAGAAGGGGGTGCTGGCGAGGGGCCCTGTCTCTGGGCCTTACTTGACCCACCTCCCCAGTGGGCCGGTTTGGGGGGCTTTGATCAGAAGGGCTCCTTAGGCCCCCATGGGGTTCATCTGCCTTGCCCTAAATGAGCCCCCTGGGCGGGGCAGCCTGCCCGCCCAGCCTCCGGTGCCTGAGTGCATGTGGGGTGGGGTGCATCTGGGCCTGCTGCCACCCACACACCTCCCCCTGGGTTCTAGAGCTCGACTTCATGTGGGACAAACTCGTTAGTCTGGGGGTGGCAGAGTAGCGCCAGAGGAGGCAGGAAGGGCAAGGTCAAATGCACAGAGGTTGGGACAGCTGGGGAGGGCGCTGGGCAGTGGGGGAGCGGGCTCTGTCGCCTGCCCACCCCTGGCAGAGTGCCCGTTCAACCCGAGCCCCATGGGGACCCATTCCTGCCCCAGGTCCTGCAAGACCACAGACCCTGACAGCATCAGGACCACCCACCCCATCTACTGCCACAGTTCTGCGGGGCCCACCGGGCTCATTGGCAGGGCCCTGGCCACGCTGGCGGCCACACTCCTTGGCCACCTTCTTCCTTGTAGGGCCTGGCACTGCCAGCCGTCACCTCTGCTTACATGCCTCCATGGCCCTAGCTCACTGGGCCTCAGCTTACCCATGAGACCCAAGGGGAGAGAGCCTGGCCAGGGGCACTCTCTGCCCTCGGTTCCCAAAACTTGTAGAAAATAAATAAGCAGGGGTGGAGACAACCTCTTTTCCTGGGCACTGAGAGCCACAGAGCTGGCCTTCAGGAGAGCTGGGCTGAACCAGGCATGTGCGGGGCACCTGGCCCTCATGCTCATCCAGGGCCGTGTTGACCCATTTCACAGATGGGGAAACAGGTGTAGGAGGAGAAATGTATCCTGGGCCAGCCTTCCTGCAAACCTGTCCCACAGCAGGATCCATTCCTTAGTCCAAGGAAAATCTGCCCCATCCCAGAATCTCTCCTCAGACCCTGGAGGCGTGGCACCCACCCCCTGGGTGGGGAGGAAGCTGGGGTTGGAATCCAGTTTCCTCAGGGCAGGTATGTCCCGCTCTGCCTGTCCAGCCCTGGGCTCCCAAAGCAGCAAGGAGAGGCGGGGAAGAGGTCATGTGGAAGCACAGGCAGCCTGCCCGCCCAGCCTCCGGTGCCTGAGTGCATGTGGGGTGGGGTGCATCTGGGCCTGCTGCCACCCACACACCTCCCCAGGCCTCAGTCACCTCCTCTGACGATGGGCCTCAGCCCTGAGACTGTCCTCGGACAGCTGAGATTAGGTGAGACTGTGCGCACGGAACACTAAGGTCATGCCAGCTAGTCCCGGACACGCAGAGCCGGTGCTGGGCGCCATGCCACACTGGACCTGCAGCACTCCACCCGGCCAGCCTCTGTCGGCCGGAGGACGGGCAGCTGAGTGTCCTCAGGGGCTGACTCCCCCCAGGAGCCCAGGGTTCTTAGGATCCGGGAGACTCTGCCTCAGGCTCCTGCTTGCCCGTCAAGTGGGCCCCCAGCTAGCTGTCCCTGGTCATGACTTGCTCCAGCCCCACTGTCAGGAGGTGGAGGCAGAAGCAGTGCCCAGCACATTGGCAGCTGCGGGGCCTGAGTGACCCCAGGGTGTCACTGACCCTCTCCAGGCCCAAGTACCCATCAGTGCCCTCTGGGCTGGGCACTTTCCATGTTCTGCATTATGGCCAGACCTCCAGAGAGCCCCTACTGGGCCCTGGATTTGGAGGCAAGGGGCGGGGCCCTCTCCTCACCCTGGGGACTGCACAAGGTGATATCATGGCTCACAGCCTCGGCTTCGCCAGCGGAGCAACAGGGAGAATGGCTGCGGGCTCTTCGGGGGTGCAGAGGGGTGAGCGGGCAGGAGAGGCTTGGTGTCCCCATCCCAGGGGAAGGCAGGTGCGTGGCGGCGCGCACCTGCGGGGTCTCCGCACTGCGCCGGCGTGGCCAGCAGAGGGCGCTCGCCCCACTCCCCGGCGACTCCTTCCCTGGGCGCGCCCCGTCACCGCCCGAGCACAGGGCCGCGCGACCCTCCCCTGCCCGGCCCCTCCACCACCAGCTCGGCAAGGCGGCCTGACCTCACGGGGACCGCGAAGCCCCTGCCCGGTCCGTGGGCCTGAGAACGCCCGCCGGCCCCTCGGAGCTGGGGAGGCTGCAGGTGCGGCCTGGGGGGGGGTGGGGTGGCGGCAGCTGCTCACCACCTGGGGGCACGCGGGGCCGCAGGAGAAGGAGCTGGAGCGCGACCGCGCCCCCCGCACCTGGGGCAGCCGGCGGGCCGCGAAGAAATGCGGAGGGAGGGGAGATGCCCGCCAAGGGTTACCTGGCCCCGGCGGGCGGGCGGGCGGCTGCTCAAAGCCCCACTGGCAGGTGGAAGGAGGGGTGGCGCGCTTCCGTTCCGCTAAAATCGCCTAAAGGAGAAACACGTGCGTGGAACACCTCCACTGTCCCCCAGGAGCCCCGGCCTCCCCGACGCTGTCCCCACCCGCAGGCGGCAGGCGGGGAAGGCCGTGGGGACGTCTGCTTCGCCTGGGACTCGCCAGCCCCTGGAGTCGGCCCGTCGTGCCCCGGGGGCCGCAAGCCCCTGCCCCAACCTAGGCTCCTCCGCCCCCCCAGAGCGCCCCTGCCGTGCGCCCATCTCATAGACGGCCCACCGTTCACGGGGCGTCCTGTGGGACTCCTCCACCTCCCTCATCTTCCTCCGTCCCTGACAGCCAGAGATCGGCCACCAGGGCCTCTCCATCCCCTCCTCCAGCTCCCTGGCCCCATCTTGCACCTCCCCAGGACCGAGACAGGGACACGGTGTGCCTGCCTCGTAAGTCTGCTTAGCCAGCACCCACTGAGGGCCTCCTGGGCCTGGCACCGGGACACCTCACAAACACCATGGGGGCGGGGCTGGAGCACATTCCTGTGGCTGTCCGCCTGGGGGAGACTCAGGATGGTCTAGAGAGGAGAACCAGCGTCTGGCCAAGTGTGGGACAAAGCAGTCACCTGAACTTCTCAACAACAGCAGTCAGTCCCTGGGATCAGAGCAGGTCCCGCCAGAAGAACCAGGCATAGACACTTCCAAAGCCCAGCCCCAGCCCCAACTCACTACCAGAGGGGTCAGCCCTGCCCCAGCAACTGTGTCCCCTAGACAGCAGACACTCTTCTCCTCTGTGGCCGGCCCGTCCTCCAAACATAAAGACCCAGAGAAAGCCGCTTCTTCCCCCACCCAGCTAGGGTGCATCTCCTTTCAGTGGACAGAGAAGCCCTGATGCCCTGGGGCACAGCCAGGTTCAGCCCAGATGCCCTCGACCATCTTGAACACCTCCCGACATGCACACGAGCATGCACATGCATGCATGCCACTACACTCATGCCTAGTCCAACCACTGAGGCCTCAGCACAACCAAGGGTGTCAGGTGACTACACATGGGGGCATTGGACGCCTTTCCCCCACGCCCACAGCATGAGGACCAGGGGGAGCCTCAGTCGCAGGCAGCACCAGTGCCCACAACCCCAGAAGACAGCTGGTGAGCCAGGGGTCACGGCAGCATCTCCACCGGGTGCCGAGCAGGGCAGCCCAGGCCCGGGCGCCCCATCCTGCCTCCTCAGCCTCCACCCTGCCCCTGGGTCCCCGCCAGCCCCTCTGGACCACTGGCTGGCCCCGGCAGGACCTGGACTACCTGTGTGCGCACCATTTCCCCTCTGCAGTCCCTTCGGGGAACTTGCCCTTGTCTGGCAACACTCAGCTCAGACACCTGCTGAGACCTCCCTCCCTCCACTCCCAGCCAGCCCCTCCACTCTGGGTGGTCCCGTCCCTCCCAGGCCCCATGGGACCTTCAGGAACACTTCTTAGATGAAGAAAAGCAGACTTTCCACATGGATGCCCAAGAGCCTCCCGCGTGCCAACTAGCTCAGGGCAGGGGTGAAGCCCGGCCTGGCCAGCCCCAGGGCCCTCAGACCTGCCAGGGGAGTTGGAAAGCTGAGGCTTCAGCCGACCACCCTGGCTGCAAACCACTGACCTGCCATCCAACCGTGCCCAGGCCACATTGCCTCTCCAGCCCCACCTCCCCATTGCTGAATGCCTGTTGCAAATCCAACTGTTTCCAATGGCCCATTCTTTCCCAGGCCCAAAGAGCTGGGCATTCCTGGACAGGTGGTCAGAGCATGGACACGGTCCACAACCCCATCACTCACCTGCTTTATGTCCTGGGGGTCCCACTTCCCTGCCCTCTTCAAGGGGCCTGCAGAACAGCTCACCCTGACCCAATAAGGTCCATTGCCCTCTGCCCCCACCTGCTACCCCCAACCCTGCCCCAGTGATCCCAGGGCACGACCTCCTAAGACCCCCTGGAGGACCGTGGGGCTCAATCCTGGGAACAAACTGGACACCTGGCCCGGGTGACCACGAATGAGGATGGCAAGGCTCAAGGGCTGGGGAGGAGAGGTCCAGGAGCCAGATGGGGGTTCAGGCGACCCCTTTCTGGCCTTGGTCCCATGTTCTGTGGAACAGGGACAAGTCCAGCCCTGCCAGCCTGGTCCCTAAGTTCACAGGAGCCCAACAAGCCTGGACAGCCCCCACAAGCGGCCCACAGCTTCCCTGGGGGGACAGGGCTTCAGAAATGAGGGCCTCCCCCAGCACACTCACATTGAAGACCCTTTAATCTTGGGCTTTCTTTAAATAAAACAAACATTGCAGCTTTCCCATGGCGACTGTAAGGCAGGTGACAGCATGGGGGCAGGCGAGGAATCGGGGTGTGGCTGTGCTCCCGGCTCCCGCTGGCAGTGGGGTTCCTGGATGGGGCAGCAAGGAGTTCCGGGCTCCAGCTCTGGCCTGCCCCATGGGTGGTGGGCAGCGGCTGAGGCAGGCGGGCATCCCGCCCGGAGCAGCCACACACACGGGCAAGCAGTGACCTCACACCCAGGGCCTTGACGCCCCTGTCCCCAGCCAGCCAGGGAGCTGAGGCCAGGCTGCGGCCTGCCCCGGCTCTGCCCTTGGTGCTCTCAGAGGCTCTGGGCCGGGCCCCGCTTCTCTCCGGGTCTCCCCTTCCCCAGCTGGAGGGAGTGGGCGGCCTCAGCTGGCATCCCAGCATCCTGGTGACCCCATCAGGGAGCCCCAAGAGCAGCTGCCAGGTTGGCCCCCTCAGAATAAGAAGGAAAAACTCCACAGCAGGCAGGATGCCGGGCAAGGACAGCCCCAGCGGGAGGACAGACAACTGAGGTGCTGGAAGCGCAGAGAGGGCAGGGCCCCACCCACGGTCACACAGCAAGACCCTATGGGGTGCGGACAGGCGAGGCCAGGATGCAGAGGGCACCCAAGCAGAATCCCACTCCCTGCTCTGTTCCCCCTCACGGCAGGCCCCGACTAGGACATCCCAGCGACGGGAAGCTTACCGCCTCCACAGGAGCCCCTGTGCCTCTGACCTGCACTGGCCCGGCACACTCGCTGGCTGCAAGTCATGGCGGCAGGCCCTGCCCCCACCCCAGGGGAGCCCGGGTGGCCAGGCCTCCCTCCTGAGTGCCCCTAGGTCAGTCGGCCTGGCCCCTGACCTCTCAGAGTTCGCCCTGGGCCTGCCCCGCCCCACCCGCAGCCAGAGGGATCTGCCTTGAAGTGCTGCCACTACCCTTCGCAGTGCCTCGCCAGCTCCTTGCTATGCCCTGATCAGGCCCCGCCCCCAGGACAGCTCTGGCCTCACCCCCCTGCCCCATCAGCTCGGACTCTGGGCTCTGAGGCTCGGGGCGGCCCTAGCTGGCTCCTCTGCTCCAAGCACTCTCGCGACTGGGGCCCGTGGAAGTCTGGCTTCCCCTGCAGGGTGGGGATGGGGCCTCCCACCCCACCCCACCCCACCCCCAGCCCGTACATCAAGGGCCCTGGGTCTCCCACTTTGCCCACCGTCTCCACTCTGAAGGCTGAGCTGGGTCAGAACGCCTGTGTCACCCCATCTTGTGCCCAGTGTGGGGCAAGGCACAGAGGGGCATCAGTAATGGGGGTGGGGGGAGGGAGGCCGAGCGGGTAAAGGGGGCTGGGCTGGTCACAAGGCCACTCCAGCTCAGAGAGAGCCCAGCCCGGCCAGCCCACTCTGCACGCTTTGTCCCGGGGCAGGCGGGGATGGCTGGGCAACCGCCCCCAGGTGGAAGCTGGTGGCCAGGGCACGGTGGTCACTGGTCCTTGACGGCATCGCTGAGCCCACTCTCGGCCCGGAGCAGCTGGCTGCTGGCCTGGTTGTAGGCAATCCAGTGCTGCAGGTCTTCCGGCAGCTCAGGGGGCTCCACCTGTAGGGGAGGAGGGTGAGACCCTCGGGCCACCTGCTGCCACGGGGACAAGCAGGCGGCACAGGAAGGGGGCGCCCAGCTAGGCTGCTGCCTTCACACATCTGGGCCTCTGCTCAGGCTGTTCCCTCAGCCCGAAGGCTATTCCCAGCCCCACACGTCCCCTCCTCCCCTTCTGGGTGCCCCCTCCTGCCGCCCGCCCGGGCCCCTCAGCTTGCGCTTCCCCCATCCTAGCTCTCAAGATGCCACCCCCCTGTATGAGGCCTGTCTCCCCCACAGGGCCATGCCTGAGCCCTCTGTGTGTCCCCAGAACCCAGGCAAAAACCTCTGAGGCCAGCCCGCTGGAGAAGGGTGCCGGGAGATGGGAGACCCCGAAGAACCAGAGGCTGCAGAGTGGGGATGGGGCAGGGGGCAGGGGTGGATGCCGGGAAAGCGCTGGACACGGGCTGGCCTAGAGTCTCTCTCTCTGTCTGTCTCTCTCTCGAATGCACCAAGAGGAGCTGGACTTGACCTGCAGGTCAGCTCTGGGCCTGACCACTGTGTTGCCACGCCTGCCCGCGCAGCTCCAGCAGCCACCTCGCTGCATACTCCGCCACCATTTCGTGATGGGGAGGCAGGTGACACGCGGGGCCAGGCCTGAGGGGTCCGAGGCCTTGCAGACTCCTTTGGGAGTTCCCAGAGATGAGGGGAGAGGCCTGGGCAAATGTCTGAGCCCCTCATGGCATCAGGGAGGCTGGGCAGAGGTGCTCAGAGCTGGACAAGTCTGACACGGCAAGTCTGGGCCCGGGCTCTGCTCAATGTGAGGCCTGGCTCTTGGGAGCACCCTCCTCCCAGCCCGGCTGCAATGAGTAGATCCCAGACTCAGCTCCAGCCCGGCTCTCCCCTCAAGGGCACACCGCCCCACACAGCCTTTCAGCATGCAAACCCCCAGGCACTGGACTTGGCCCGCCCCACACTAAACCTGCATCTCCACCTGGGACCCTCCCCACCCAGGGGCTCAGGCTGGAAACCTGAGCGACTCCTGGCCTGTGTCCAGGCCCTCCCATCTGTGGCTGGGCGTCCTTGGGGTGTCCCTGCCAAGCTGTGGTATCGGCCCTCCTCTCACGTGGACCTCCCCATGAGCCCGAGACCCTTGCAGCCCACGCCTGACCACGTCGCACCCTCCCTTGCAGGAAAGCTGCTTTTTGGTCCCAGCTCTCAGCCCATGGATTTAAGGCCTCGATGGCCACCCCCTCTGGGTCTCCTGACACATGAAGGGACATGCAGAGCATCTGTGTGCCTATGGGGTGGGGGGGGGGGGAGATTCAGGCCCCTTGGGGGTGTTCCTGACTCAACAGAGACAGAAAATCAGGGCGCTGTGCCTGTGGCCTGCTGTGCAGCCTTGGGCAGTGCCCACTGCCTCTCTGAGCCTGTTTCCCCACCTCTGATATGGAGGAAAGGCTGATCTCTCATGTGCCAGAGCTGTGTCCCTCCTCTGCCCAGGAGGCGCCTGTCCGAGGCCAGAAAGGCAAGCCCTGGCTTTGGCATGGAAGCTGCAGGCAAGTTTTCAGGAACCAGCCTGCGGCGGGAGCCTGCCCTAGCAACCATCGCAAGCAGCAGCACCCTGGCCCTCCCCAGGGCCTGGTTGCCATGCTGCAGTAGTGGGCTGGGCTGGGAGGAGCAGGCCCTGGGGAGAGGCCTTGAGCCCCAGGCAGGCACTGAGGCCCTCTTCCCTCCAACAGCAAAAGGCAGAAAGCTTGCAGCTGTCTGGGGCTCAATCCCCCAACCCCAACCCCAGGCGATGGGGTCCCAGCCCCTCATCTCTCTGTGTGTGAAAGGTGGGGTCCTTGAGAACTCCCAGCAACCTCCTCTCACTGACACCCCCCATCCTCTGTTCAGAACCACGGAGCAGAAAGGGTGGCTGCGCACTGCGAGCCACACAGCGGCCCGAGGACTTAGACTACCGGGAGAGGCCTGGTCGGGGCTTCCCTGTTCTAGAAAGGGCGGAGGGTAGGGCACGGAGCCCCGAGAGGCCAGGTTAAGAAGCGGCAGGAGGGGAGTATGCTAAGTCCAGCTATGGAGAGTTGATTCCGGAGCCCTGGGAGCTCCTAGGAAGAACCGCATCAGCGAAGGAGGCCCTGGGTCCAAAGCAAAGGGCTGGAGCGGCATGCGGCGGGACAGGGGCACCCCAAGGAGGTTTAGGCAGCGGGCCTTTCCCAGGGGAGGGGCAAGGACCAAGAGCCCTCAAGGCCCTGCGGGGGACGTGCAGCCGGGGCGGGGGCGCTCACCCTGCGCTTGCACAGGTGTTGCACGACGCGCTCCGGCGAGGCGCCCAGCACGTGCTGGCGGGAGCGCAGCAGCGCGCACACGAAACCGTCGCGTAGGCTGATGAAACGCGCCTCCAGGTAGAAAGCGCGGTCGTCCCAGCCCAGCAGGCGGGTGCGCACCTCGAAAGGCTCCAGCAGGCGCAGCGAGCGGCGGTAGCGCGCGCACGAGGCGGCCAGCACCGCGCGCGCCCCGAGCGCGCGCAGCGCCCCGAGCACGCCACAGCGGGCCAGATGCGCGGCGCGCGCCACGTCTGCCTCGCGCAGGTAGCGCGCGTTGTTCATGTGCAGCAGCAAGTCCAGGTCTGAGGGCAGCACGCGGCCCGCGTACCGCTGCTCGGCCAGCAGGTCGCGGACGCGCGGCTGCAGCAGGCGCGCGCGCAGCACGGCGCACGGCACACGCACCAGGTACCAGCCGTCCAGCAGCGCGAAGTAGGCGAGGGCCAGGGCCAGCAACGCCATGAGCAGCCCCAACATCGCGGCGGCAGAGCCCTCGGCGCTGGTGCCGGCCGGTGCGCCGCTGCCCGCGCCGGTCCCGCGGGCCGGGGAACCCGCGAGCGCTGCGCGGCCGGAGCGAACCACCTCGCAAGGCCGGCTGAGGGGGGGACGCGGCGGAGGCCGCTGGCGCCGCAGGCTGGAGCCCCGCCTCCCGCCCCGGGCCCCCCCGCGCCCTCAGTGGTGCGCCCCGCCCGCGCCGCTCTCGCGCTCCCCGGGGCGGGCGGGGCACAGCGGCATCTGGCGGCCGCGCCCCGCGCTGCAGGCGCAGGAGCGTCCGGAGTCGTCCGCGGCGCCCGCCCCTCGCCCGGAGCGCACGACACCCGCGTCTCTCCTGGGCCCTTGAAGACTCGGACTGGCGCTGGAGATTTGGCTCCTGATCTGAGCAGGGTCACAGGCTCCAGCACTTCCCCGGCTCAGGCTGTGGGACTTTGCAAGAGAAATGGACACAGCCGGTCCCCAGCCGTGCTGCTTAGAGCCTACTGGACACCGACCTTCCTCTGCTCCAGAACCTCCAGGGACTCCCCCACTTCCGCAGGGCGACAGCCCCAATGCGTATGCGGCGGATTCAGGGCGCATCACAGTCTGGCCCCAATACACCTTTTCAGTCCCAGCCTGTAACCTCATTACCCCTCCCCCCCACATTCACCCTCACCCCCAAAGAGCCTGATAACCTGAACCTCATTCCCAAGCAGCATCCCCACCCTTTGTCCCTTTAGAAACAGGAGCAAATAGCGTCCAGAATGGAGTCGAGGTAAATGTAAATGACTCAGCAATGGATTCAAAGTGTCTTGCCTTAGGCACTCGGACGCCGGGCCAGCGGGCTGTCGCACACATTCGGGTGTCCTGTTCCTCTCTTCTGTGAGGCCGGGGAGAGAAGGCCCAGATACGGCCCGGCCAGCTCTCCCAGCCGGCCCCCAGGGCTCTCACACGACAGCGTTTGCTGTGAGCCGGGGGCCCGCCTCCGCAGGTGCACGCTGGAGTCCTGGAATGCCGGGCGTAAGGAGCTCCTGAGCGGTTGCCGCGGGTCCGGGCGGCTCCGAGGACGCATCCGGCAGCAGCGGGGCTGAGAGGCAGCCGGGCTTTAGTTCTGTCCACACTGGGCCTGGGCTCCGGTTGCCGGGTTCTTGACCGCCCTCTCAGAGGAGGAGCTCCCCCGGGAGCTTCCCTCCACAGTCCAACGCTGGGGCTGGGCGGCCTCGCATGCCTCCATCACCGTCCGGGCCAGAGGCTGGGTTCTTTGCTTTTCTGGCTTGGCTTCTGGGGCCAGCAGCTGGGCAGAGTAGGATCTGGGTTTTCCTGACTCCCTGGAATCTGCTTGGACACTGAAGGGGAATCTTTATACCATGCATCCATGGGAGAAACCCAGAAAAACTGAGCAACTCAGCCAGAATGGCAGAACTGCCACCTTAAATACCACTTTCAGCTAAAGACAAAGGAGGATGTTGGCGGTAGTGGTTTGGGGCTTCAAAGGGGAGGGAGGCAATTCACATGGAAATGATAATGCAAATGTTGAGTTGAGCAGGAACTCTGAGGCTCTGCCAGGACTGGTGAATGTTGCCTATAAGATAAGAATGAGCTTAGCAAGGACCGTCACAGTCTACCGATACCCAGAGTTATCTGTGGTGATGGCCTGTCCTGGTGACAGGCCTTTTATCTTAAATTCTTTTAGGCAGTTAAGAGGAAGGTCAAAGTTTCTTTCAGAGTCTTTTGTTCTTAAAAATAATCAAGGCAAAGAGACACATCTGGAGGTGGCCAATTCTGATCCCCCACAACCCTCCCAGGGACAGGGAGCTCATCCCTATCAGGGCAGGTCCAACTGCCCTAGGAAGCCCCGGTGGGAAAATGGGCCTTCCGGACACATTGCTCACACTTGTCCCTGTAATGCTCACCCTGCCCTGGGATCTGAGATGTCTGTCCCCGGGATGGGCGTCTTTCCCCGGGGTGGGCGTCCATCCTGCTTCCTTCTCAGCTTCTGCTATCCAGGCTGTCCCCCAACACACACAAACACACCACACATGCTGTTCCCTCTGCCAGGGGACACTCCCCTCCCATCTTCCCCTTGCCTGACTCCCAGAGCCAGATTCCCAGAGCCCTGGTCTCACCGAGCTTGTACACAGGTGCGTCTACATAAGAGGGGTGCGGTCTCCCGGCTGGACCCTGAGGCCAGGAGGCCAGGGCCTGGTCTGCCTCGTTGACCGCCAAATCCCAGGACCAGCGCGACGTCCGGCACAGAGTGGGCGCTCAAAATGCGCGAAAGCTGGAGGGGCCAGCTCCTTCTCCGCCCCCCACCATCCGGCTGCATCGGTCCCACGCAATGGACGCGGGCATCTTGGGGTGGGTCATGCGCAGTTTACTGGGGGACTGGAAAGAGTCCGGGTCCCATCGGGGAAGCCCCTCCCTCCGCCCTGGCTTGGAGTATCGGAGCCTGCGGAACTGTGCCGAGTGGAGGAGCTTAGGAGGGGTACTCCGGTGTCCCCTTGGTTCCTCAAGGATTCTCTTGTCTGAGTAGCGCTGGGCGTCGCCGCCAGAGGCAGGCCCGCAGCCTGAGTTCTAACGGCCGCCTCCTGGGTTCGAGGCTCCAGGGCAAACGGGAGCGCGGGCTCAGAGCGCCGCCCAGCGGAATAAGGAGCGGAGGTGCGAGCAGCTGGAGCGCGGCGGGCGCGGGACTCTGCCCCCGGTCGCGCCCCGGGCCCATCCCAACCCCGGCCGCTGCCTGCTCCCTAGATCCGCCCCCGGCCCCACCCCGGACCCAGCCCCAGCCCCGCCCCGGTCCCCGCCCCACTCCCAGCCTCGGCCTCATCCTTGGTGTCGTCCCCCGCCTGGCACCCGCCCCACTCCGCCCCTGTCCCCCGGATCCGCCGCGGGCTCCGACCCGGTTCCACGCCACCTAGCTCCGCCCCCGCCCCCCGCAGCGCGGCGCACACCGCACAGATCTTGGTGGCAGCGGCTCTGCGGGCACTTCTGGCCCAGCCCGTCCCGGTTCGAGGGCTAGCACCCGGCCGCTCGCGCCTCGGTCACTGTCACGTTGCCCATGAAGCGGTAGCCTGCGGGCGGGGCAGAGCGGGGTCGCGAGGGCGCAGGCGCGTTTGTCCGCAGTGGGAGCTGAAGGGCCGGCCCATAGCGGACCTGAGTGTCAGATCCATAAAAAGGGGGTGGTCGCCCTGCAGATGGTGGCTCTGCCGCAGCTAAGCGGCGGGAACCTGGTGGCGCCTCAGTTTCCCCAGTGCATTCTGGGGGAGACTGAGCCGAAAGCTCCCTGAAGGGTCACCAGCTGGGGCTGTTTTCTGGGTGCTGTCTGCCCAGGCCAGGGCTGGGGACAGGGCGTCCCACAAGAGCTCCACGGTGAGGCAGCCCATGTGCGCCGTGGACACATGGTGACATTCAGACAGCAGGCCACTTGGTGGGCCGGGGCTCCAGTAGTACAGAGCCAGGCCTGGGCACAGGAGGGCCACTCACCTGGGGGCCACTCCCACACCACAGCCCTTGTGGGGCGGGTGGATGGGGTCCCAGCTCTGCGTCATGCCACTGTAGGGACTTGAGCAAGCGCTCTGAGGCTCTCCCAGGACTCCTGTCGTCGCCTGGCCCAGGAAGGGCCCCCTAGGGGCTATCCCCCAGGACCCCGCCCACCCCACCCAGAGTCCCACAACTCCTTCCCGTCTATCTTGCTTCCTTCTTGCTGCAACTGGGTCCACTGTGGCTTGGAAGAGGTAGGAGGCAGGAGGGACGCCCCAAAGAGGAAGGTGGGATCCCACCCCAGGGTGGGGTCTGGGGACAGGGAAGAGAGGAGTCAGGGAGAGTTAGGGGAGTAGAGAAAGGGCAGAGGGAGGAGGGGCTGAGAGCTGATGGAGCCTCCAGAGGCAGAGGAAAATTGAACCTCTCTTTCCAGATGTCCCTCCACTTCCTTGCCTCCAGAGGGTCGGACACATCACCCCTCAGGTGGCTGCCCTGTCCCCACTCCAGCGGCCCTCCCTCCTGCACCCCCAGCACTTACAGATCAGGGCCCAGGCAGATGACAAACACTGTGACCCGTTCACCCAGCGCAGTGGCAGTGTCGGGGGGCAGGGAGCTCTTGACAGACGCCCAAGTGGGAGTGGTCAAGGGTGGAGACATCCCCAGGGAGCCGGGCCAGTCACCAGCCTGGGGGCAGCCCACCAATCCCAGCCCTGGAGTGCCCAGACATCCAGGCTTGGGGACAGAGGGTCTGCTGAGCCGAAGTCCTCAGGGGTAGGATAGACCAGACTACCGCCAGCCTGGGGCTGGGTGCAGGGCCAGGGGCTGGGGCAGGGGTGGGAGACGCCCCCTCAGGGATGCCCTGGAGGTCTGGTTTGGAGTGGATGGGCACGCAGGGAGGGTGGCTAGCAGCCAGCTGTGTGACCTCAGGTCAGTTCCTTCACCTCTCTGTGCCTCAGTTTCCTTCTCTGTACAGCCCTACCTCGTGGGGTGCTGGTGAGGAATGAGGGAGTGATTCCCTGGAAAACCCGTGCAAGAGTGCCCAGCATGTGGCAAGGGCTACGCCAGTGTTGGCTCACATTGTCACATATTATGACAGATGCCGAAGGACCAGGACAGCATTCCGCACATGGGACAGGCTCAGGAAATGGCATCTTAAAAACAAAAACACATCCATCGTCCAGGGCAATGCCTCAGCCACAGATAAAACCACAAGGGGTCTCCTCCTCAGTAAAAGAAGCAGTTTGCCAAGGAGAGTGTGTATCACGACGCAGGTGTGTAAATTCACAGTCACACCTGCATGCCTTTGCATAGGAAACATCACAAAGATGGTGAAAATGGTGACAGATACTATCCTAGGGTTTGGGGATGTGAGTTCCACGCTTTCTCCTTCTTTCCTGCCTTTCCATAGTCCTAAAGATGTCACGGTGTGAGGAGAGGAAGGTGGGGGTCCCAGTCCAGACCCTGTGGGACCCTGGGCAAGTGGGCTGTTCCTGAGGGTGGCCTCCCTGCTGTCCCCACCCTTGGAGAGGCAGAGACCCCGTCAGCCCTCTGTCAGGCAGCAGGACAGGGAGGGCCTCGGCCTCTGCGGTGCTGTATGTGGGGAGCGAACTCCTGGGCCTCACTCCGTGGAGTGCAAGAGGGGCAGGGCTGGCCCCCCAGGCCCTCTGCACCGTGGGGACTGCTCAGGATGTCAGAGGAGGCCCCAGGTCAGGGGGCGTGGAGAGCCCAGCTGGGCCTCTCCCTGCTAGGGCCTGCCCTCCCTCTCCCCTCACCCTGGCCTGAGTAATTCGAACCCCCGGAGCCCGGGGAGGGTGGGGGGCCTTGGGGCCCGCCTCACCTCCCCGAGGGTGGGCTAATGTGTGGGCCGCCGTGGGACCTGCTCAGTGGCTGTGGCCATTCTCGTCACTGGACCTCCAGGTCCTGCCAGGCCTCCCGGCCACACCAGCATTTTGGATCCTCTCCCCTCGCTTTGTGTTTTCTCACAGCTCTTTTTTTTTTTTAAAGATTTTATTTATTTTTTATTTTTTCCCCCCAAAGCCCCAGTGGATAGTTGTATGTCGTAGCTGCACATCCTTCTAGTTGCTGTATGTGGGACTCAGCCTCAGGATGAACGGAGAAGCGGTGCCTCGATGCGCACCCGGGATCCGAACCCGGGCCACCAGCATCGCAGCGCGCGCGCTTAACCACCAAGCCACAGGGCTGGCCCTCTCACAGCTCTTATCAGTAACTACTATACGTGTCCATATTTATCCTGCTCCTCTGACTCCACTATCTTGTCAGCTCTGTGACCTGGGGGTGGCTCCAGGGTGTCAGGAGGGGCCAGGGAGAGTCCAGCCAGGCCTGGGTGACCACTGTTCCTGCAGCGCCTGCACGGCGCGGATAGCAGCGCTCCATACTGTTTGCTGAGCGGATGGAGCACTCAGTGTCCCCTACAGTTGCCTGGGCAGGGTCAGCAGGCCTGGGCCAGCAGCTTCGGGAAGAAGTGCCACCAGAAGCCCCATCCCGAGTGCCCACCAGGCCTTACTGCACTGTTGGCCCAGGCTCCAGCCTCGGGCCCCAGGTCCTGCGCCCAACCCCGATGGGGCTGAAGCTGTCCGAAGGCCCCCAGTTCTGCAGCGACCTCCCAGAAAACAAAGGCCCAGGCCTGGACCTTGGACCCTGGACCAGGGCCAAGCCAGGTCTGTGTGGTGAATGTGCCTTGGGCCCCAGAGGGGTGGGTGTGGAAGAGGGCGGGGCCAGAGCTCCCCAACACAAGCCGGGCAGGGTGGGCCGGGCCCTGGAGGTGAGGGGACAAGGGGGATAGTCAGCATGCAGGGTCACTTGGGCGCTGGCATGGGGATCTCTGCCCTTCTGACGTCACCACCCCGAGACCCAGTGTGCAAAAGGGGGTGGCAACCCCCCTGGGGACACACACGGAGGGACACTGGTCTGGGTGGGGATCCCTGGGCCTCTGGCCTGGACCCGTTCATCAGTGTGACCCCCTCCCCCATCGCTGCTGTGCTCCCACCCCCACCTCAGAGCTCCAGGGCCCGGGTTCTAATCCTGCCTCACTCACCACTTGATACGTGACATGGGCCAAAAATGCCGTCCTGCCCTGGTCCCCACCCCGGCTCGCCACTCACGTTGCCCTGGTGGCTCAGACTGCCTGTCCCTCAGCCCTGGCGCCCCTAGGGGTGGGGAGGCAGGCTGTGTTTTCAAAGGGGCTTTCCCAGGTATGAAAAAGACGTGAGTGGGCTGGGTCCTCCCGGTAGGACCCCAGGACTCCATGTGCACGGGGTGCCAGCCCAGCACACCATTAGCCTGGAAGGAGCGCTAGGAGGTGTGATGGGGTCCCCCTAGAGAGGCGGAGGGGCCTGAGGTCAGGGAGTGGGGGGAGGTGGCCTGTCACTGGGGACCCTTTTGTATAGTTGGAATTTTTTACTGTGGGTGTGGAGCACTTACAACAAACAAAATAAAAAATCTAAGAAATGAACAGAGGGGCTCTCCTCAGGGTATAGGGAGAGGACTGGGTGGGGACACTGTGGGGGCTCACATGGTAGCAATCCCCTCCCACCGGGAAACTTCTCCATCCCATGAAGTCTCTGGGTCAATCCTCACAGCAGAGAGGGGTCACAGATGAGCATCTGAGGCTCAGAGAGGTTGAGCCAGCTGTTCGAGGCCACACAGCAGGAGCCAGGAGTCCCTGGGGGCACTGCCTTGCCTTCTGCAGAGATGTCCTCCCTTCCAGGTGTCACACATTTGCTTCTGCCCATGCCAGAGCCCTGCCCCACATGGCCGAGAGCATGGCCACAGCCACAGACATGGGCCAGGTGGTGGCTCGACAGAGCCCTGGACCCCAACTCTGACCTCAACCTGGGAGCACGCGAGGATGGAGACTGTCTGCAACTAAGACAACGGGCCTTTATTAAGGGCCTACTGTGTGCTGCGGTGCTGCCCCTACACCCCCACGAACATGGGGAACTGTCCCCCCTCCAGGCCTCATGTCTTGGGGCTCCTGGTACCTCACAGCCCCTGCCCCCAATGCTCCTCGGTACGTTTCATCTCAGCCTTTATGGGGCCCTCCTGAGTGTCTGCTCCATGCTGGGTGCCAGGGATACTGTGAGCGGGACCTAGCTCAGCTTGTGGAGGCGGGCAGGCAGAGAAGGCTTCCTGGAGGAGGAGGTGCCTGAGCAAGGGTTAAGGGCTAGGTCAGAATATTGGGCAGTGGAAACAGGAGCAGCCCTAGGCCCATGGGAGGGATGGGCCGTGAGCAGGCTGTTCCGCATCACTAGGGCCCAGCGTGCCTGGTGGTGGGAGCTACAGGGAGCCAGGGAGGGCTGGAAAGGGCAGAGGGGCATGACCTGACCTGAGTAAGGGGCCAGGAGGGGCCTCGACTGGGCCGGGCATGTGTGAGGATTGCCCCAGGGACCCTGAACGCCCACTGCCCAACTTGGGACACAGCAGGGTCCTCCTGGTCCTACAGCTGGCCAGGAGCCCAGAGCAGCAAGCCGCCAAGAGCAGTAAGCAGCGCCAGGCTAGCAGTGGCTGGCCGCAGGGCAGGGGCCCTGCTGGCGTTGCACAGGTCCGTGGAGCAGCACGTGATGTTCTGCTTGCCCAGGTAGTAGTTCTGCGAGTCACCCGCACAGTCCGAGCTGCAGCCCTTGCTGATGACGGTCAGGAGGCCGACAGCACCTGGAGGGGACAATGGACCACCGGGCTAGGCCGGGTCCTGGATACTCACCCACCTGGCCTTGCCTCAGCTCCCATGCTCCCTCCTGTCCCCACTCTAACCAAAACTCTAGAGTCACCCTGGGTCAGCCTCAAGACTGTGAGCAGTGTGAGGGCAGGGGCCTGGTCTCATTCGTATCCACATGCCCAGGGCAGCCAGACCTTCTGCTGCTCACTAGAAATATATAACGAATGAGTGAATGCAGCACTGGATGGGCGAGTGGCGGATGGGGGGATGGATGGATGGATGAGTGACGGATGGGGGAATGGATGGGGGATAGATGGATGGATGAGTGATGGGTGGGGGATGGATGGGGGGACGGATGGATGGATGAGTGATGGGTGGGGGATGGATGGATGGATGGAAGGATGGATGAATGGATAGATGGATGGATGAGTGATGGATGGGGGAATGGATGGGGGATAGATGGATGGATGAGTGATGGGTGGGGGATGGATGGGGGATAGATGGATGGATGAGTGATGGGTGGGGGATGGATGGATGGAGGGATGGATGAATGGATGAGTGATGGATAGAGGGATGAATGGATGGATGAGTGATGAATGGGGGGATGGATAGATGGATGGACAAGGGATGGGGGATGGATGGATGGGAAGCTGAGCACCTCTGTCTGTGTGTGGATAGATGAACAAGTGGGCAGGTGGACAGACGGATGAACAGTTCAGTGGCAGAGACTAAACCCAGGTTCTCTGAGTCCCTACCAATGGAAGGAAGGTGCAGGGAGTCTAAGGGGATAGTGCAGGGGGCAGGGCAGGGCCACTCCCAGCCCAGGGAGGACCCCGGGCAGGGTCACAGGGAGGACTGGGGGAACAGCAGGGCCACTCACTGAAGCGCTCGGTCCGGCACTGGGTCTCGGAGCTGGTGCAGTTCTGCACGTGCTGGCAGTCCTGGTTGCTTACCTTGGCTTTGCAGGAGTAGCACTGCAGGGCGGTGCCTGTGGGAGGGGGCGCTCAGAGGCTGCCCAAGTTGCCCGCCTACGGGCTGGGGGAGTGCTCTCTGGCCCCTTCCAGGCTGCTGCGAACATGAAGGAGCACAAGAACCCGCCACAAACTGGGACACCCCTCACCGGGGGGGCACTGCACTCATCAAAGGCCACCGAGGACAGTTTCTCTGCCCACTTCCTGTCGTGGCACCTGGAATCCACCATTAGTGCCCCAGCCCACCCCTGAGGGTTTTAAAGCTCTGTTGAAATGCCCATGCTTCTGAGAGGAAGGTAGTGCCAAGCCCCGGCATGGGGACAGCTGACGCCACCTGGCAGCTGGCTCAGCTGGGCGTGGGCAGGTGAGGGCAGGGTGGACAGGACCTTTCCTGGAATTGCCCGTGCTGGGCATCGAGGCCCTCCCATCCTCGTCCCCAACAGCCTGTGCTGTGAGACCGTGGGTGGGCCCCTGGCCATGTCCTGCTTTGTCCCTGGGAGTAGTGGCCCCAGCTGTCACGACAATTGGGTCTCCCGCTGGTCAAAACAATGATTCAGCTGGATCCAAGTCACCCCGGTGCGAACAGAATCGATGCCACCAGCCCTGTGCTCATCACTACACACACTGGGGGCTCCCAGGGACACTGGGGGCCACTGTCATGATTCCCACTTTCCAGAAGAAGAAGCTGAGTCTCCGAGAGGTTCAGTGATTACCCAGGGACCCTGGGCCAGGAGAGCCCAAGGCAGGCCTGGAGTCCAGACCAGAGCAGCACAAGCCCACCCCTCCCCACTCGACAGGCCTGGGGAGCAGGATCCAGGTCCTCTTGGGACAACCCCAGCCCCGCCCCATTCCAGTCTTCCCTCCTTTCCTCTGTGGTGCTCCTTAACTTAGGGCTTTTCGCCCCTGTGCCTCCCACCCCCACAGGCTCTCTGAGCATCTGCCTGTCTGTCTGCCCTCCAGGAGCCAGGGCCTCCCCACAAAGGGAGAGCTACCATGTGCTGCCCGCCTGTGTCTGCCTCAGGAGACCATCGGGGGCCGACCGACCGCAGGTGAGGCGTGCTGCCTCCTGGCTGCACTAAGAGCTGCCCCAGAGAGGACACGGTGACGAAAGCCCCTCTTTCCTGCAGCTGTCTCTCTTTCCTTCCACCTGACCTCCCTCCTCCCTGTCCCCCTCCTCCACTTCCTCCTCTCTCTGCCCCTCTGGGCTGGGTCCTCTCTCCGGGGGGCCCCTCTGGCTTCCCTCGATTGCCCCCACCCCCAGCCCTGCTCCCCCAGCCCTGCCCCGTGGCCGGCCGAGGTCTGACCTGACTGCAGGGCCCAGCCAGTGGCCAGCAGGGCAAGAAGGACGGCCTTCATGGTCACAGGCAGACAGTGGTAGAGTGGACCTCAGGGCGCCTTTATATAGCTTCAGCCACCCAGGCGGAGGCTCTGCTGCCTGCGCCCAGCACAGACAGGTTCCCCGGGCCGGTGCGTACCTGAGGGTGGGGCAGATCCCAATCTCCAGCTGCCCCACCAAGCTACACCCTCCCGCTCCTTTGTCCTTCTTTCTGCTTCTGGAAGGCAGAGCCTGACTCAATTTCCTCACCCGCAGCCATTTCTCAGCCACCCCCAGGACAAGGCCCCAGGCTATGCCTCTACCGTCTCAGAGCGGGCAGCCAGGGCAGAGAAGGGAGACCCCTTTCTGGAGACTCATTCACTCCTTCAGTCTTTTAGCCAAGGATAAGAGGCACCTCCCTCGGGCCCCCCATGCTCTGTGCAGGACGAGTGCTTCCCTCCTGGGGCTCACAGTCCTGTGGGCATGACAGGCCTTGATCAACCACAGACATATTAGCACGAACCTCTGCCAACGAGAGGTGCAGGCTGCAGAGAGGGTGCCTTGGGAGCCATTCTAGGGCAGCCCTGGAGGCTGGCAGGGGGCTGGTACGACCAGTGCACACAGGCCTAGAGCCTTGAGTGTGTGCAGGCTGGGGCTGCAGGCCCTGCCCTCATGACCTTACTTGAGCCTCACGCCATGTGGGACGTTAGCTGCAAAGGAGGTGGGGAGACGCAGGCTTAGCAGCCTCTGCTGTAGGAGGAGGTGGATGGGAGTGGCAACAGCCTAGACACTCTCTGTCTGGACCCCAGACCCACTCTCCATTCTGCTTTGTGTCCTGGGATCCCATAAGGATCCCATAAGGGCTTCCATGGGCCAGAGACCTGAGGGTGGGAGGTTCAGAGCTAGGCCATCTCTTCTGCCACACCCTGACTGTTGGACCCTGGTGGCAGTGGCTGTGTCCCTGCTGGCCAGCCTTCTCCCATTGTGCCAGCTATGGCCAGCCTCGGGTACTGTTACTGCCCAAAAGGGGGTTCGTCTGCCCACTGCAAGACATGCCAATAGTCAAGAGGCAAGGTAGTAGGAGAAAAACGACTTTTTATTACAGCTTGCTAGCAAGAGGGAAGATGGCCGTCTCATGTCTGAAAAAAAACATCTTAAGGGGCACAAAGTCTTACAGTAGTTATATAGGCCATTGGGTTACAGGGGAGGGAGTTAGGAATGTTGACACTCTGGTCTTACAGACTGGGAGTGCCACGCCAGATCTTTCAGTTCTCATTGATGATGGCTATCAGCATAGACTCTCTGTTCAGGGGTCATCACATTCCTAAGGAACTCAAAAGAACAAAGTCATCATCTTATCACAGCTGGGAGGTACATGCACAAGCAGGGGTCGTAAAATCTACAGAGCAGTTAGATCTCCTGGAGGGTGCATATCCAGCTGGGCTAGTTAGTCAGAGGTCACTCAAAGTTACAATAGGGTTTCTTTTCTACAACATGGCTTCCCTCGTGTCAGCCTTGTGTTGAGCTGGTATCAATTCCACCCCTTTGCTGTTTAATCCCTCAATCTTGAGGGACATCCTGTTGTTCCATCTTATTGAACCAGTCTCTTAGTAAGACGGTGGTGCAGGTAGGCTCCCAAAGTTAGGGCTATATTGCATAAGCAAGTAACCGGGTAATTAATAAGACAAAAAGAAAAACAAAGTTAATGGTGGGAGCAAATTATAAACCAGTTTCTGAGTCCACGGGACAGCCAGTCAAGAAGATTTCTAGATGTCAGAGTCAAAGCATCTTTTGCAGTTTGAAATGTCTCTGATGATGTCATCGAGTATTCAGGTACCTTTCTGAGTGGCTTACACAGTAACAGACATGAATCTCTCTTAAGTTTATATCAAGTCCACTAGCTTCAGTTTGCAAGGCTTCAGGAAAAAGGGCAGGTTCAGTTCTCAATGATTCCAAATGAAAATGACAGAAAAAAAATAAAAAACGTCTGTTTGGAGATTTGTAGCCAGATATTTCAGGAAACTAGAAGAATTCAGGATCCAGTCCAGTTAACAGATATAAAATAAAAAACCTCAGAGATAATTATCAGAACCGAAACCTAATATTCATGAATATGTACTATATTTTCTATTGAAACATGTATTTTTCCCTCTAAAATCACCCTCATTCTTTGTAAAAGATAGCCAAATTAAAGCTAACTGGTTTGCAAAACAGGTTTAGTTTCAATAAACTTGGCCAGATTATTTACATAAGTACAGCAAGAATAGCAATTGATCACATAGGCTCTTTTAAATCTGCTTTGCTGGAACTCTTTATAAGGGATGTCAGATTGAACTTCAAAGCCCTCTCAAGGCCAGGAAAGTCAAGCCAAGGATTTTATCATCAGACTTTTCCTGCAATACCTACAGATTGGGGGAATTCCTGTCTTTTTGAGGTTCCCCAAAATATTTCAAGGTTCCTTGCACATGCCAGATAAGTGACCTTCCTTACTCATCCTGGTAAGCATTGCTTGGAACTCTGTACATAAGGTACCAGGCCAATATTTCCCTATGGCTTTATTCCATAAAGTCCAATCTTTGTCTCTCAAAAGCTGTCTGGTCACATTCCAGTCAAAGCTTTCTTAATCTAACCAATGTTTCCAATTGTGTCCTGTCATAAGGAGAACAGATTCTTTTGTGTGTGTGTGTGAGGAAGGTCAGCCCTGAGCTAACATCCAATGCCAATCCTCCTCTTTTTGCTGAAGAAGACTGCCCTGGGCTAACATCCGTGCCCATCCTCCTCCACTTTATATGGGACGCTGCCACAGCATGGCTTGACAAGCGGTGCCTTGGTGTGCGCCCGGGATCCGAACCCCAGGCTGCCGCAGGGGAGCGCACACACTTAACCACTATGCCCCCGGGGCGGTGCCAGGAGAACAGATTCTTATTGAACTTATGCAATTAACTATATTGCCATGAAAACAACAATACTCCTACACTAAGAGTTTCCAAATCCTGGAGGGATCAGCTAGGGAAGAAAAAGGTAGATGTCTCAGTTTTGCTTACAATGGTATAATTTACCAAATTACCATAAGTCATAGCTAGCTCAGGAGAAAAGAGAAAAAGTTTTCCTTATATCTGAAAAACTAAAACATTAAAAAAATCAGCAATATTTCAAAGAAAAGTCATAAAAATTATAATCATCCTTGTCAGTTCATTCAGTCCTGTGTAATCAATTATTATTATTATTATTTTTGTGAGGAAGATCAGCCCTGAGCTAACATCCATGCTAATCCTCCTCTTTTTGCTGAGGAAGACCAGCTCTGAGCTAACATCTATTGCCAATCCTCCTGCTTTTTTTTTTATTCCCCTAAAGCCCGAGTAGATAGTTGTATGTCATAGTTGCACATCCTTCTAGTTGCTGTATGTGGGACGCGGCCTCAGCATGGCCGGAGAAGCGGTGCGTCGGTGCGCGCCCGGGATCCGAACCTGGGCCGCCAGTAGCGGAGCGCGCGCACTTAACCGCTAAGCCACGGGGCTGGCCCTGTAATCAATTCTTGATCTTAATCTTGTTAGCAGTTTCACAAAGTCATCAGTTTCTCAGTTAGAATTCTGTAATTTCTTACCCAGTTCAGCGTTATGATCTGAAAGTTTATCAGAAACCTGTATTCTAGAGTAAGTGCCAGAGTCCTTTCCATGAATTTCTCTGAAGATGAAACATATTTTGCAAAAGCATCAAACCATAACTGTCTGTAAACAACAAGACCCCAAAGTGGCAATTGACAGGGAAATTTGGTTAATTTTGTGACATACAACACTTTAAAATAATAACCAGAACCAGACTGATAACCAGGAGAGATCAGAATTCCAGTAATGTTATACAGTTTCAAAATGTCTATATCAATAACCTTCACCCACACAATACCACCTAAGAAGGCTTATCATCACTTATTTGACAATGCTTCTCATGTAATTTAACATACCAAATAAGCCTAATAAGTTTAGTATCTTCCTCCTTATAGGAAGAGAGCAAATTTCTTTGAGAAGTCCCAGGGCCCTTTGAAAATTCTCAAAGAAAAGAAGTCAAAAGTAAGATTTTATTTAAGATATGAATTTAAGATATTGTCAAAAATATAAACAGTCAAGGGCAAACAGAGCATATACAGTCCAAAAAGCCTTAATAGAGAGACCTCAGTCTTTTGAACACAGGAAATTACCTTAACAAAACATAGATCTCTGTCTTTTAGGTAAACTTAAGAAAATTACTTCTTTAAGAGAAAAACCAAATTTTAATTTTGCACTAGCTTACTTTTTGACATTAAAACTCATTTACTTAATTGAATTTACTTTAATCACAGCCAACTTGACCATGCATAAAACTCTTTTTTTGTGTGTGTGTGAGGAAGATCAGCCCTGAGCTAACATCCATGCAATCCTCCTCCTTTTTTTTTTTTCTTCCTCCAAAGCCCCAGTAGATAGTTGTCCATCATGTTTGCACATCCTTCTAGTTGCTGTATGTGGGATGCGGCCTCAGCATGGCGGGAGAAGCGGTGCATCGGTGCGCGCCTGGGATCCGAACCCGGGCCGCCAGTAACGGAGTGGGCGCACTTAACCGCTAAGCCACGGGGCCAGCCCGCATAAAACTCTTTTTTTAGAATTCCTCTTCCACAAACTTTCTATAACTTTCTTTTTACCGTCAAAATTTGTCCCATGCCTTCCTTTCGTCCCTTCTAGTACTTTGGGACAAATTTATCTTTCTTAACCAACCAAACAAAATATTTCTCTTCTTTGTGACTTCTTTACTATATATATCTTCCTTTCCTTGTATACAGAGCTGTTTTCCTTATTAATTTTTAATAACTTCAATCACATATATTAATTAGAATTTTTTAACCCTTACAGACCTTAGTGAAAACTAAAAAGTAAGCAATTATGAACTGTCTTTTATATTCGCATTTTTTGGCTTGGCAAATTTATAAATACCTTTCATAATTTCTAAAAAACATGTTACTTCATAGTACAATCTTTTAATAAAATATAAGACATGTTTACTAATAGACCCAAAACACCTTTTACTTTTTCTGTAGTAAGAAGCCAGAATTAGATAAACTTAGATATGTTTAGCAATAATGTTTCAGTATTTTATCTTATTTGAAAGTGACCCAGATACTCCACGAACTTTTATCAAAAACTCTAAAGTTTTAAGTTAGCAAAAGGAATTTGAAAGCTGTTTTTTTTTTCCAGGTATACAGACCGTGAAACATAATTATTGTACCCAAAAACTCTTATTTTCATCCATCTAAATCATTTGTTTCCAACGATTGTCAATCAAACCAAGAAACTTAAACCAGCTTTTATTTACCAAAGATTAATTTATATCATGTTAACTTGAAAGACATTTGGGTTAACTGCATTTAGAAATAATTTTTGTAAGCAAATTGAACAGAGCTCTTAATTTTGACCATACCATCCGGAGGTAAACTATCACACATAGGTAACAGACACACATACACAGAGACTGCACAGCTATTACTGCCATGAATCAGGTACAAGGCTCCCCAGTTATGAATCCAAATTTTTGTTTTAAGCCTTTTTACTAATATTTTTTTCTCTTCAGTCTTAGGAATTGCTGATGAGCTAGATAACACTTCCCAGAGAGGCGAGGCGATACCCTTTCTGAGATGAAGGAACTGGCTGGACTCTGGACTGCCCCTACAGTTGTATCTCCAGTCTTACAAGGATTTTTTTTAAGGACAATTGCTCTTGATTTCTCAGAAATTGGGTTGTAACTGAAATGACATTATAGGTTGATCTGCCTGTCTAACCACATCACAAAGGCACAGAGAAACCACTCAAGCTTTCCCCAAGATAAAGTTTCTGGGGCATAATCCATCCAATAGAAATTGTTTCCAATCAGTTAAAGTGCACCCGAGGGGTGAGTCTCCGGGGATAGCTTGGGGCGTTCCCCATGGCGTAAAACCTGCGCCCCACTGATAGAGACCTGAAGAAGGGTGCAGAGCCCCACTGCGGGCGTCAATATAGCTATAAGATTTAGTCAAGTCCCACTCAGCCCGGGCACTTAGTCCCTGAGCCAGCAGAAAGCAAGCAAGGGAGGCAAGAAGCAAAGGCCTGGAGCGGGCTGGGGGCTGGGGCTCCCAATGCCAGGGTTGAGAGTTAAGTCCCTGGCAAAAGTTTTCAAGTTTACAGAAGGTGCAGGTTCTGCTCAGGTCCAGCCTGAACTTAACCTCAACTTGGTGACAACAGAGGAGGTGAGGAACAAAACAGAAAAAGAAGGGAAAGAGGTGATCAGGCCTCGCCCTCATGGCCTCTTCCCAAGAGTTATCAAGATAAGTGTCACACAAACAACAGTTCCCATGCTGGGGCACACAACCCTGGCAGGACAGTTTACAGAATAAATTACAGATATCCTGTCCCCATAGCTGACTCAGTAGGCGCCTAAAATACTCAACGTGTTCCCGATAGGGGACAAAACAGGGTTCCAGATTTCAGTCAAATGACACAGGGCCAACCTGGAATCACTCCCGGTGCCCCCAAACCAGAGGAGAGCTCCCAGGAGTGGAGCTCGGACTCTCCGAAAGCAGAAGCCAGAGGAGAGCTCCCAGGGGTGGAGCCTTGACTCTTTAAAGATTTCTTTCTCGATTTGAAAGCTCAAAAGGTGCCCAAAGTGGCCACTGTAAAATTTAAATTATCCCAGGTTATCTTGCCAGCTGTTTACAGTTATGTCCATTTAAGGGGGCTTTTCCCGAGGTGGCCACAACAAACAGGGTAATTTCTAAAGAGAGTTTGTTATGATCACCGAGAAACTCAGTCCGCAAACAACCAATTTTAAGCTACTTACCAACACAGACACGGACACAGACACAGAAAAACCAGACTCCGGTGAACTAGTTCCCAGATTTAGGGTATAAAGTCCTACAATTGTTCCCACTCCAAGTGCACACCCAGACAGTCCTATTGGACCCCAGATGGCCCTGCCGTAAGTGGAAGGACCCCGGATGGAGGGGAAGAGAGTTCATGAGCGTCCTCAAGTAACTTACGCTACTCCAGATTAAACCTGTTGACTCACCAGAAGTAGCTGTTTCTCTTCCTACCACATCAGAGCGTTAGGAGGCAGCCGGCATCAGTACGGGAAAGCAGGTAGGGCAATTCCCCAAGACAAAGAGAGGCTCGGCAGCCGCTAGGGACTTACCCAACAGGTTGCCCATCCGAGGTTGGCTGGCCACGAGCAGGACTTAACGGCCCATCTGGGTCGCCAAATTGTTACTGCCCAACGTGGGGTCTTCTGCTCACCGCAAGACATGCCAATAGACAAGAGGCAAGGTGGTGGGAGAAAAAGGACTTTTTTTATTACAGCTTGCTAGCAAGAGGGAAGATGGCCGTCTCATGTCTGAAAAAAAAATCTTAAGGGGCACAAAGTCTTACAGTAGTTATATAGGCCATTGGGTTATAGGGGAGGGGGTTAGGAAGGTTGACCTTCTGGTGTTACACACTGGGAGTCGCCACACCAGATTTTTCAGTTCTCATTGATGATGGCTATCAGTATAGACTCTCTGTTCGAGGGTCATCACATTCCTAAGGAACTCAAAAGAACAAAGTCATCATCTTATCACAGCTGGGAGGTACATGCACAAGCAGGGGTCGTAAAATCTACAGAGCAGTTAGATCTCCTGGAGGGTGCATATCCAGCTGGGCTAGTTAGTCAGAGGTCACTCAAAGTTACAATAGGGTTTCTTTTCTACTACATGGCTTCCCTCGTGTCAACCTTGTCTTGAGCGGGTATCAGTACCTGTTCCTTCTCCTCATCCCCCCAAGCCCAGGGGCCTCATCCTGCTACTGTTGGCCTGGGCCCATTAGTGGTCCCTGTTCACCCTCTCAACCTGACCCTCCCTTTGAAAAAGTCTCCCTGGGACCCCTTGGAGTGTCTAGCCACGCCCACTGCCTGCAGGCCTGAGTGTGTCTGAGGGACCACAGACTCCTCCCACCAGGGTGGGGGGAGAGTGCCTTTCATTTCCTGATGCCCTCCTGGCCCAGTGGACAGCATCTCTGACCTGCATCTTACTCCCTGCTCCTTGATTTTCCCCTAGAAAAGGGCCCTGGGGATGTCAGGGGCCATGAGGGCACCTGGGCAATGGGAGAAGGACCTTCTCACCTTGAGCTCTGGATCAAGATGATTCGCCATATGGGCCAGGGGTGACCTGAGACCCAGCCCTCCCTGGGACTTGCAGCACCTCTGGGGTCTCCTCTGCCCACCCCCTGGCACCCTTTAGGTTGGGCTCTTTCCCATGGCGATTGTCTCTCCTTTGGAGGTGAGGAGCCCAGGGCCCAGAGAGGGGCAGGAACTTGCTCAAGGTCACACAGAGGTGAGTGTGGCCCCTCTGCCAGCGTGCCTTCCTTACCCGCTCTGCCCACCCGGAACTTTCTCTCTGAACACCCCTCCAGCCCATAGTCCCATAAGCTCAGGTACCTCATGCAGTAAGTAAAACGTCTGTGACCTCACTGTTTCTTGTGTGGGTGCCTTCCTGTCTGCCCCCCGCAGCTCAGTGGGACTGGGGGTGCCCTGGACTGGAGCCTTCCTTATCTGTCTTTGTATTCAAGGTGCCTGGCACCTAGCACCAGCCTGGAACATTCATTCCTCAAATAGTGACAGATGCCTAGATGTGTGTTGATCTGATTTGATATGAAGTGATTAGTCTAAGGCAGTGTTTCTCAAACGGGGGTGCCTCTGTGCCACAGGGGACATTTCACAACACCTGAAGACCTTTTCAGGTGTCCCAACCGGGGGTTGCCACTGGCTTTCAGTGGGTGCAGGCCAGAACGCTGCTCACCGTCCTGCGGTGCACAGGACTTCCCCTACGACAGAGAGTCCCCCACCGGTGTCAGGCGGAACTGGAACCGCAGGGGCGGGAGCCCCGCCCAGAGCCGTGCTGAAGACACCGCTGCCCGGTGGGCGTGGAGGGCGGAGTATTAAAGCAGCAAGGCTGCTCTCGAGCCTCCAGGTCTCGTGAACTCTGCCTTGCTAGGCTGGTGTGGGACCCGCCACCCCTTTCTTCCTTCTCATTTCTCCCTTTTGGAATGGGGGTGTCTATTCTGGGCCTGGCCCTCCCACCTTTGTATTTTGAAAGAACATAACTTGTCCGGTTTCCAGACAAGGTGCAGGGTGCAGGGCTGGAGGGGAATTCTGCCTCAGGATGAATCATACCCTCAGTCTCACCCTGTGGGATCTATGTGACGTTCAGATGGACTGGACTCGAGACGTTAGAGCTGACTCGGGAATGAGTTACGACCTTGGGTCTGGATGTTGGGATGGAATGAATTTACTTTGCATGTGAGAAGACATGAATTTGGGGGCCCACAGGCAGAATGCTATGACTGAATTGTGTCCCCCATAATTAATATTTTGAAGCCCTGACCCCCATGTGAGGGTGTTTAGAGGTGGGGCCTCTGGGAGGTGATTAGGGTTAGATGAGGTCGTGAGGGTGGGGCCCATGATGGGATTAGTGCCCTTATAAGAAGAGACACCACAGCTCACTCTCGGCCACCTGAGAACACAGAGAGAAAGGGCTGTCTGTAAACCAGGAAGTGAGTCACCAGCATCCACACCAGGGCCCGACCGTGCTGGAGCCTGATCTCAGACTCCCTGCCTCCAGAGCTGTGCGAAGACACATTTCTGCCATTTATGTCACTTGGGCTGTGGGATTTTGTTATGGCAGCCCAAGCAGACTGAGACAAATGGCCTGATGGCCACAGCTCAAATATTAAAGACCATGGCTGTGACGCCCCAAGAAACAGGTATGAAGCTCCTTCTGACCACAGACTGAGCTCTGACCTCAGTCCCAAACTGAGCCCTCGCTAGGGTCACAGTGTGAACTCTGACTCTGGTCATCAAATAAGCCCTGATCCTGATCACATGCTGAGTCTTGACCCTGGTCACACTCTGAACCCCGATCCTGGTAACACACTGAGCCCTGACCTGGTCACACACTGAGCCCCGATCCTGGTCACACACTGAGCCCTGACCCTGGTCACACACTGAGCCCTGATCCTGGTAACACACTGAGCCCTGACCTGGTCACACACTGAGCCCCGATCCTGGTCACACACTGAGCCCCGATCCTGGTCACACACTGAGCCCCGATCCTGGTCACACTCTGAGCCCTGATCCTGGTCACATGCTGATCCCTGACACTCGTCACACTCTGACGCTTGACCCTGGTCACACACTGAGCTTCATCTCTGTCACTCATGCTTTGGACACACACTGAATACAGCTCCTCAGCCTAAACTGAGCCTGGATCCTCCGGTGGTCTCACTTTCTGGGAAGGTCTGTCACAAAGGGCAGGGCTCCCTGCCACCCCTCCAGGGAGTGGACAGGGTCTGGGTGTAGCTTTGACGTGACTCACCCTCACCCTTCTTCCTTTCCTCTGCTCCGAAGTCACCTCTTGGGACTCCAGATTTTCCTGTTTTCTCTTGACCTTCCACCTACCCGCCCAGCCCCCAAGGGCCCAAACCAGTTGGGTTCCCTGGAGATCCTGCCTATTCACAAAGCCTGGGAGTGTCCCCACTCTTGGGAGGGTGTGAAGCTGGGGCTGGAAGGACCAGCAGGGGGGCAGCAGGGCGGCTGGAAGCAGACCCCCACCTCACAAGAGGTCCTTGCCAACAGACCACCACGGCCTCCTGGGGCTGCCACACAGTCCCACACTGGAAAAGACATCATTTTTGGATGAGTTCTTTATTTTATGCAGAGTTAACTTTAAAAAATAAAGATAGCGTGTCAATTGCAAAACCACAACTGATGTCACCTCCCACCTCTGTACGTCTTTTCCTTTAGAAGAACGCAGTCAGAAATCAGGGGTAAGCTGTGTGCTGCCAGGTCACTGATAGACCGGGGAGGGCATCCTCAGTGCCAGCCCCCATTTTGAGTTCTCGATATTAAGCTCATGTCCTGCAAGCTCTGTGTGTGTGTGTGTGTTGGGGAAACTGAGTCCCATGAGGGCCCCAGGAGTCTGCTTCCCACCTCCAGTCCACCGTGGCCGAGCTCCCACGGGCCCTGTCCCAGGTGCCAGCCTGTCTCTAAGTCCCCAAAGGGCCCTGTGTCCCAGAGGAGGTGTCTCTTCCTGGTTCTCATAAAGGCGTCCTATGGGTCATCAGTGGCTCTGCCCCAAACCTGCTCCCCTCTGGCCCCAGAACCAAGGTGGCGATGGGCCCACCCCCTCCTCCTGCCCCCGACCCTCAGCCCCAGCCCCTCGCTGGGCCCTTCTGCCTCTGGTGCCTCTCAGAGCTATCCCTCTCTCTGCCCACCTCTCCTCATGCCCACTCCTCCCTCCTGGAGTAAAGTCAGCATGCCCAGGAGACCTGAGCCCACCTCAGGCAGTCCCCTCTGCTAGCTGGGTGTGGGCTTCACAGACACCTCAGCCGGGAGGCAAAGCCCCCCTCTTTGCTGTGAGAGATTTGTGGGGGAAGAGGGAGAATCCTTCTCTGCCTTTTCCTTTAAGGTTCTTATGGCTGGCCAAATAATTAACAAGACAGGTTAGCAGGAGAAAATAATACCAAGTTTAATAACATGTATACATGGGAGAAACCAGGGACACTGAGTTTTTCAACACAATGGCAGAGATTCTCGTCTTAAATACCATCTTCAGCTAAAGACAAAGGAGGATGTTGGGGGTGGGGGGTGTTTTGGGATTTCAGAGGGGAAGAAGACAATTTACATGAAGAGGGAAATGTAAATGTTTGTCAGACAATGCTTTGCAGGGCCACCTATAGAGAATGTGGCTGGAGAGACAGGAATTATAGTAACCAAGAGTATGTAGATTTAAGTCTTCTTCTTCCGTCCTGATGAGAGTTTTCACAGATAAGGTCATCCCCCCTCTCTTCCCACTACACAGAGGGAGATACCTTTACACATATAAATATTTGGTAAACAGAACTTTGAAAAGAATGGGCTTAGTGAGGACCCTGCCAGTCTGTCCATACCCAGAGTTAAATTCCTTTAGGCAGTTAGTGGGGGAGGTCAAATGTCCACCAGAGAAAATAATCAAGGTAAAGAGACATATTTCAGGGTGGCCAAATTTTGATCTCCCACAGACTCATCACCCCAAGACCTTCCCTCTGGGGCCTGGCTAGAGATGTCTTCCCACTCAAGGCCCCCAGAACCTGGGTGAGGGGCTCCGCTGGGTCCAGAGCCACCTCCAGGTGAAGGGACAACATACTCAGTGGAACTCTTGTGGGCTTGGAGGAGGACGGTGAGAGCCAGACCCGGCGTGGCCTGGTGGCCCAGTGAGGACCCTTCCTGGCGTGCCCTGGGAGACCAGGGGTGGGCAGGGGAGGGATCCATGCAGACTGACCCTCTCAAAGGCTACTCTGGCTGGACAGGTGGATGGGGAGGCCAGTGGGGAAGGAGGCTGTGGTGGTGGTCCAAGCGTGGTCTGGGGACTCGACCTTGTACACTGGGGGAGAGGAGCCCTCAGTGCCAGGCCCCAGGAGACACCAGTGGATGTTCTTCCTTCTCTTCTCTTTCTGACGCCTTCCTCTCTGCCAGAGTGGATTCAGTCCTTGGGAGGAGGCCCGAGGGTCCCAGAGTGATGGTGGGAGCATCTGGGGGAGCCCCATGGATCTTGAGGGTTGAACCCCAGTTCCATGCTGAGCCCCAGCCCCCTGCCAGCAGCATCCCGTGTCCACAAGGTGGCAGCAGAGTGTCACACACAGGGATGGAGCCAGCATCCTAGGCGCCACCTTGCTGTCCCAGGAGACTCTGCTAAAGGACTGCAAGTTCCGGAGTCCTGGGTTCCGGTCCCACCCACGTGCATGTTGTGCTCGGTGCTCCCATCTCCCCTCCATCAAACACATCCGACACGAGCATGCCCAAGTCCCGAGCCACGGTCCGCGCGTGAGGAAATGGCTGCCGCTCCGAGCCTCTCAGTTTTGGGGCGCTTTGCCATGCAGCAGCAGATGGCTGGGTGGGGGCAGGGGCAGAAGCAAAGACCAGGGACAGAGCAACTGCAGGATCAGGTGGCTTGGACCACGGGGATAGAGCGGGCGGGAGTGACAGGAGGTCCAAAGTTGCATGGATGTGAGGGCAGAGCCAGGCAGAGCTCCTGGTCCACTGGGTGTGAGTGTAAGGATGACTCTGAGTTTTTTGGCCTGAGTGAAGCGAAAGGTGGAGTTGCCACTCACTGAGATGGGGAGTGCGTAGACAGGGCAAGGCTGGGCGGGAGGATCACCAGCTCAGGTTTAGAAATGCTAGGTTTGAGGTGCCTGGGAGAGGGCTATGTGGGGACGCTGGGTAGGGCATAGGAGTCGAGAGTGCATGGGAGGAGACATGATTTTGGGAGTTGCCTGCCTTTGCTGGTATGTAAAGCTGTGAGACTGGTGGAGATCACCCAGGGAGTGGGTGTGGATGGAGAGTAGAGAGCCAAGGAGTGAACCAGCCAGGTAGGAACCAGCAGAGGAGGGTGAGGAAGGAGGACCAGGGGGTGGTGGCTTCCTGGGAGCCACAGGAAGAAAGTGAATGAAGGAGGAGGGAGCTATCAAAATCCGTCTTGGTTCCCTCTTGCTGCTGTAACAAATGACCATGAACTTGGTGGCTTAAAACAGCACACATTTATTATCTTACAGTTCTGGAGGTCAGAAGTCTGAGATGTCTTATGGAGCTAAAACCAATGTGTCAGCAGGGCTGGCTCCTTCTGTAGCCTCCAGGAAAGAATCTGTTTCCTTGCCTCTCCCAGCTTCTAGAGGCTCCTGCTTTCCTTGGCGTGCGGCCTCTTCCTCCACCTACAAAGCACATGCTCTGATCTGTGCCTGTTGTCATTTCTCCTTTTCTCCCTCTGCTTCCATCATCACATTGTCTTCTCTGACTCTGACTCTCCTCCTCCCTCTTATGAGGCCCTTGTGATTACATTGGGCCCACCCTGATAATCAGCATCATCTCCCCATCTCAAGAATCTCCACTTAATCACATCTGCAAAGTCCCTTTGCCATGTGAGGTAACGTATTCACAGGTTCTGGGGTTTAGGGTGTAGACATCCTTGGGGGGAGCATTTTTCAGTTCACCACAGTCCACCCTCTGGTCCCCAAAGATTCACATTTGTCCCACATGCAAAATACATTCACCCCACCCCAAGGTACTGTCGACGCAAATAATCCATAACCAATCTATAAATCAAAATTGGGGTGAGTTTATTATGAGACAGATCTGAGGACTATATAGCCCGAGAGTCCCTTCACAAAGGAATGGAGCCCTCCAAAGAAGTGGGGTGTACAGGATGATTATATACTGTCAAAGAGCATGTGTCACATACGACTGGAATGTCTCTTTTACAACAGTCATGAGATTGCTTTGCTGGCACAGCATTTCCATGAATGTGGCAGGTCTGTGGTCTCAAGGTGCGTGGCCACAGCAGGTCAGCAATCAATCCCTAGCCTAGGGAGAGATGATTATCCTTAAATGCCCATGTGGGGGAAGTTATATCCTTATCTTTAAGGGTTTTGTTTTTGTCTTTGAAACATAGTAACTACTTAAAGCAGATATACAACGCAGCCATGTCAAGCCCTTTTGGAAAAACAAGTTCAGGCCTAATTAGTTTTACACCAAATGGCTTTCTCATATCCTCCACTAGGTCCTATTGCCTGTCACTTACAGTACCCCAAAGTCTCCACTCACTACAGCTTCAACTCCAGTCCAGGTCTCACCAGCTCAAAAGTTCCGAATCTCGTCATCGAAATCATCTACATTAGGGATGGACGAGGCTCCAACGAAGTAACAGGCCGGGCAGGCAGATAAGAGCGGTGGCCACTGGCTTTCGCCACGGGAAGGGGCTAAGTCACTGCCCATCCCCCGTCAGGAACCCCCACCTGGAAGGCCGTCCTGTCCGGGGCACCAAGCCCAGTAGGCCTCCTGCCCAGCCGTGCCCAGGACTCCCAAACAATTCCATCTTTTATGACAATTTCCCCAAACGTCCAGCCCTCCCTGTGCCTTGCGCAGACCTGCAGGGCGTAGCAGATGCATCCTCGCTGGCCTTGCAGGCTTCGCTCCTTGCCCCCACTCCTTCGGCCCAGGGGCTCCACTCATCACACAACCCGAGACTCCCACCCTGCAGAGGGCCACGTCGAGGGCAGACGACCCCGGGCCGCCACCATGCCCCCGCTGCTCCCCCGCCCCGCGTCCCCAAGCCTCCCGCAGAGCCACCGAGAGGCGAGTCCTCCGGCTGCCTAGAGCGCCCCGGAAGCGGCTGGGGAAGGGGCGAGGCGCGGAGGGCGGAGCGGAGCACTTCCGGCGGCGGCGGCGGCGGCGGCGGCGGCTCGGGGCGCAGGTGAGTGGGGTCTGGGCGCTGCGCGGTACCTGCTGCCCGCGGCGGCGGTGGGCGGCTTCTCCTCGGCTCGCACCCCGCCCGGCCCGCCAGGCGCCCCCGAAGTCGCGCCTCCTCCCGCCCCCGCGCCGCGAGCCCGCCGGGACCCCGGCTCCACCGGCAGAGGGGCTCGGCGCCGCGCGGCCCCCGGGGAGCCGGCCGAGCCTCGGCCTCGTTTTCCCTCTGCAGTGGCCCCCGTGCCCCCGAGCGTCCACCCCAGGCGCGGCCCGGCGGACGCCCCTTCCGGACGGGCCTCTCCGGTGGCCCGGGATCCCCTGGGCGCCGGGCCCCGCGGAGGACGCGTCTCTGCAGGGCCGCCGCCCACGCCCCGGGAACGCCCTCCAAGGCCCTCCCCGCAGGGACACACCCCGAGTGTCCGTCCCTGCTCAAGGACCCCCGTCCTCTTCCGTCAAGACTTGATCCCTCTCCTCCTCCGTCCCCAGAAGACCTGTTTCTCGGGTGTTTCTCCCTGATAGTCCCAGTAAATAGGGTGAAAATAGGGACCCTAAAGCAGACCGGGAGACCGACTCGGGCGGGCAGAAGGACGCCCAGAGCTGGCTGTGACAGGCCTGGAGTTTGTCTTGGGGACTCTTGCTACATTTGAATGAACTTTTCATTTCTCTTGAGTTGTGGTCTCAAAGGGCTGCCTTTTTATGCTCCACGTACGAGTAGTCCCGTGGCCTCCCCAACTGCACCAAGTGGGAAGAAGTAGCCCCAGTAAGGATTTGGGAGGGAGGTGAAGCGGGGAGGTCCTGCTGGGGGTGCCTCTGTGAGCTCTGGAGCCTTTTCGCCCTGCTGCGGTGATGGGTGCCGTGCGCTGGCCGGAGCTGTTGGCTCCGTGATCTGCAGTCCCTCCCGGGTGAGAGAGGAGAGAGTCATGAAGGCCCAGCCACGAAGGAAGGGAGGGTCCCAGCTGGCTGTGAGGGAGGAGGCAGGACCGTCATAGCAAGCACAGTGCACCTAGCGCACCAGCCAGGGCCTGCCGGGTCTGGGCAGCAGCTCTTCACTCCTCCCAGGCGGGGGTTCCTCAGTGTCTTATCAGGTCAAGCCAGGGAGGTTGCATCCGCTACGCCCTGCAGGTCTGCCCATGGACAGGGAGGGCTGGACGTCTGGGGAAGTTGTTACAAAAGGATGGAATTGTCCAGCTGGAAGGAACCGTAACAACCTTGATCTTTCTGTAGATGAAGGATGAGAACGTAACGGAAACACCAGCGGAAAGACACAATTAATTAGAGCTGACGGCCTTATGTGAAGTCACTTTCCTCTATATGATCTTACTAACTGTAACCAAAGATGTCTGTGTAAGCTTAAACACAGAGTTTATTACTTGAAAGGTGCATAGTTGATTCAGGAAGAGTGCCCTGCTCCCAGGGGGGCCATAAGACAATTCTAGTCTTTTTGTTTCCAGCATGGATTAGTGATTTATTCATAGAGCATTCCAGATTAACAAGTACTTAGGAAGCCCCTACTCTGACCTGGTCATTTCCTGTGTTCTCTGAGTGTGTGAGCACATGTGTGAGTGTGGGCGTGAGTGTTGTGTGCACACTCATGGGTGAGAGTGCACGTGTGAGTGAGTGTGTCCAGAGACAGCTTAGACATCTGAGCACCTGGCTCTGGAGGCCAGTTGGCTGTTGGGAGACTGGCAGCCCCTCCCAGCTCTGGGAGGAGCCTGAGGCCCCAGAAGCAGTTTGGGGCCTGCTGTTGAAGGGTGGTTTGAGGAGCCTCGTTTCAGAAGAGGCTTGTAGGCTCCCTAGCCCTGGAAGGTTTTGAGGGAATGCATGCTCCCCGCAGCACCTTCATCCTTTCCTCTGCTGTTCTAGAAGGAACAAGGGATTTGTGAAGCTGGTAGTTCAAGTGGGAAGTGGCTTGTAGGTAGCCTGGCACCTGCGACCTCCTGGCTTTGTTCACTGGCCTCTTCCTTAGCATTTTCTCTGGGAAGGCTGGGTTGCTCCTGCGAGAGCCACTTTTAATTTGGGGCCATACCAGATGACTCAGGTCACTTGGTGGAAGCTGGGAAGAACCGGTGTGTCTAGCACCCCGGGGGCTGGACAGAGAGCTGGGCAGCCCCACAGGCACCACGTCACTTACTGGCCAGCTCATGTGTTGCTTGTCTCTACAACACTTGTTTCAGCTGCACCTTCCCAGTGTCCCAAGTAATGAAGACATGCTTATGAGTGGCCTGGGCACACTCTCTGTAACGTTTTTCTTTCTTCTCTTCTGCTTTCTAGTTCCTGAAGCACTATGCCTGTGAGACAGTGCTGGAGAGAGGCACGCACGGCTCAGACAGTAAAATCTCAGTTATTCAGAAACCAGCTCCCAGGGCCCCTCTGCTCTCTGGTGTGTGTTTAAGGGGAGAGGCTGTCACCGTCACTGCAGAGAAGGTTCCAACGGTATGGGGGAATCCAGGGGCGGTGTGACACTGGTCACCTCCCTTGCAGAGAGGACCAGGAGCCGGCCGCGTTGCTAGGAGCCCAGAAGACGAGAGACAGCTGAGGCAAGAGGTTTCTGGAACTAGAGGGAGGAACAAAGAAGGAACTCTGGCTCCTGGTGGCCCAGGATCAGCAGAACGGGGCGGGCAGAGTGGAGAGAGAAACCGAGGCGGGGGGAGGGCGCGGGAGGAAAGGGCAAGGAGAGGCAGGAAGGCCGCCAGGACCGGCCCAGGTGCGCTTCCCCCGGCTGCCGGGACAAGCCACCCCGCACATGGCCTCCAAGCCGGCTGCCGGGAGGAGCCCGGGGGAGAAGCGCAAGAGGGTGGTGCTGACCCTGAAGGAGAAGATCGACATCTGCACGCGCCTGGAGAAGGGGGAGAGCAGGAAGGCGCTAATGCAGGAGTACAACGTGGGCATGTCCACCCTCTACGACATCAGGGCGCACAAGGCCCAGCTGCTGCGCTTCTTTGCCAACTCCGACTGCAACAAGGCCCTGGAGCAGCGGCGCACCCTGCACACGCCCAAGCTCGAGCATCTCGACCGGGTCCTGTACCAGTGGTTTCTGCTCAAGCGCGCCGAGGGCGTGCCCGTCTCCGGCCCCATGCTCATCGAGAAAGCCAAGGACTTCTACGAACAAATGCAGCTGACCGAGCCCTGCGTGTTTTCTGGAGGGTGGCTTTGGCGTTTTAAGGCCAGACACGGCATTAAAAAGCTGGACGCGTCCAGCGAGAAGCAGGTGGCCGACCACCAAGCGGCTGAGCAGTTCTGTGGGTTTTTCCGGAGCTTGACTGCTGAGCACGGCCTGTCCCCTGAGCAGGTTTACAACGCTGACGAGACTGGCCTCTTCTGGCGGTGCTTGCCAAACCCCACCCTGGAAGGTGGGGCCGCACCTGGCGCCAAGCAGAGCAAGGACAGGCTGACCGTCCTCATGTGCGCCAACGCCACGGGCTCGCATAAGATCAAGCCCCTGGTGATCGGGAAGGGCAGCGGCCCCCGGGCTTTCCGAGGCATCCAGCACCTGCCTGTGGCCTACAAGGCCCAGGGGAACGCGTGGGTGGACAGGGAGATTTTCTCTGACTGGTTCCGTCACATCTTTGTGCCGTCAGTGAAGGAGCACTTCAGGGCCCTGGGCTTGCCTGAGGACAGCAAAGCCATCCTCCTGCTCGACAACTCCCGGGCCCACCCGCAGGAGTCCGAGTTGGTTTCTGATAACATTTTCACCATCTTTCTGCCCGCCGGTGTGACCTCCTTAATTCAACCCATGGACCAGGGAATTCGCAGGGACTTCATGAGGCATTTCATCAACCCCCCAGTCACGCTGCAGGGCTTCCACCCCCGTTACAACGTGAACGACGCCATCGTGAACGTGGCCTGTGCCTGGAATGCCGTGCCCAGCGACGTTTTTGGCCGTGCCTGGGGGAAGCTGTGGCCCGCGGGGTCGTTGACCGAAGGCTCGTCTTCTGAGGAGGAGCCCGACCACCTCAGGACTAAGCCTCACGCCCAGACGTTTGCGCACGTCCTGGAGCCGGGCAGCAGGCTTCCCTGGGGCGTGGCCACCGAGCAGGGCGGGCCCGGATGGGCAGCTGGAGAGGGGCGCCCCACTGCTGCAGGCCCAGCTCCTGCCGCGGGGAGTCCAGAGCAGGCCGAGAAGGAGAGCGAGGAGGCGGCCTGGGAGCAGGCAGCCGCATCCTTCGACGCGCTCGTGCGCTTCGCGGAGAGGCAGCCCTGCTTCACGGCGCAGGAGGCCGGGCAGCTGCACGCGCTGCGCTCCGTGTTCGTGAGGCAGCGGCAGGTGAAGCGGTGGCGGCCGGCTCTCAGGGCCATGATCAAGCTCGAGGCCCCCCAGGATGTGCCCTGCTCATCCACAGCGGGCGAGGACTGATGGCTGGGCGCCCTCCACAGTGCAGTGTGCCATGTGGCCCATGCTGGTGGCAGCTTTCCTACGAGGGTGGGAGCTGCCGTGTGCGGTCTCCTTCCTTGGGACAGCCCATCCCCATTAACGTTGCAATTAATCCGGGTGTTACTGTGTTATCTGGCATCTCGTGAGCAGGAGGAGATATTCTGGAACGGCCCATCCAAACCTAAAACATACCAGAGCCTCCTGTTGCCGGGCAGAGTCTGTCCTCGTGTTTGCTGGCTGAGCCTTGCTGTGTCCGAGGGTAGAGATGTCTGTCTGTCTGTCCCAGAGGAGAAAAGCCAGCCCTCAAGCCAGGGGATGCGATGGCAGTACCTGCCACCACTTACAGGGCTGGCATGTCCCAGTCCCACCTCTTCTGCCCTCGGGGCTCCGTCCGCCAGTCTGGCGGCCTTGCCTGTGTTAGGTGGTCCTGGAGGGTGAGGGCTGGGACTCAGTTTATGACCTCAAGTCAGCGTAGCTCCCTGCTCGTGGCTTTACAGGCAACCTGTCATCTGTTCACGTATCCCCACGTCAGGCATGACCTCACTTAGCAGCACGAGTCTCTCTGGGAGGTTTCTCCATGTTGCCAGCAGGTCCCACCCTTCAGGCTCGGACCCCAGGATGTGGTGGGCCACACGCTGGCATGACGTGGTAGAATTGCCTCCCGTGAAGCCTGCAGGGGTGGCACCGCCAGGATGTACAGAGTCTTGGCTCAGAGTCCGGTGTGCAGTCCACTCCTCACATTCCCTGGAGTTTCACATTTACTGCCTTGACACGAACAAATCTTAATCAGGCGTTCGTTTGGAAATTAGTCTTAGGTTTGCACATACACAGTGAAAACAGGAAAACAAGCCGTTACATTTCTAGCAGTATTTGAACTTGCGTTTGCAGCTGTTGACACCCTAGTGAGACTTGCAGGGAGAAGCTGGCTGTCCTGGTGGGGTTGTAAAGCCGGCTGTAGGAAGACGCGATGCTTTCTCGCTCCACCTAGAGCTGTGACCACAGGAAGCCCTGTCGGTGTGGTCACCCTCCCTGAACATACCGGAGGTGGGTGTATTTTTCTTTGTTCTTTTCACCGCTTTGACCTTGAATTCCACCCCCTTGAGTTCACGTCACGGCAGCTGGATGGGTGGTAGTTTTGTTCTCTGTTTGCTGTTATTCTGCCGAGAGACCTTTGTTCCCGCGAGAGCCGAGGGGACTTGGGTTTGGTTTGCAGCCCGGGTTCTCTTGTGTTTCCACACCTTTCCAAACACTGGGGTGACAGTCATGGCTGCCGTGGCACTGCAACATGGGGTGCTGTGTTCCTGCTGTCAGTGTGCGTGTGCGGATCGTGGAAGAGGCGCGGGTTGGTTTATAAGTCTTGTTACCAATCCTTCGGGCAGGTAGTGTCTGTGCTGTGCTGCCGTCACATCCGTCTCCGTCAGTGGGTGACACCTCTCACCCTGTACTTTTGTGCCACTTCTGGACTCGTGCCTCCCTGTGCTGTTGAATTGCAGCTGCTGGAGGTGTCACAGGAGGTGAGATGTCGGAGTCACGGGGGAGGCCACCCTTGGTGGTGGCAGCGTGGAGAGATGGGCGGACGTGCTGAGGAGCTCTCCCCCCACCGTCAGCCCCTCGGCTGGCCCAGCGGCTTTCGAGCAGCAGGACTTTGCTGGTGGGTGGAGCTGGGGGAGGGGTTCCTGGCTGCCTCTCCCAGGTCCCTTGTGGACGGTTTGTCCCCATCAGACTGTAGACCCCAGGCCAGACTTGCCATGTCCTCACGACCTGCTCCTGTCCTGGCTGTATTGTGGCCGATCAATAAACGCTTGTCCACGGCCGGCTGAGGGTGTCTGTCCTCAGGGTGCTCCTGTTCCAGAACCGGCTGCGGAGCCTGGCTCCGGCTCCTCGGGAGGATTTTGGTGGAGCAGAACTCGGCCTTCCTGGCCTCCTCCTCCCCTCACGAGCCAGCATGGCCGCCTCAGGTGGGTATGCCGCTGCTGATCCCAGGCAGAGTGGGGGTTCTTGTGCAAACTCAGGTGCAAGGTGAGGTGCGAGTGCTCACGGAGGCTCGGGTGCCTGTGAGCACCTCGGCCTCCATCCTGCCACCTGGGATCCTCACGGAGACCTCTGTGTCCGTCCCCCCAGCGTCCGTCCCTGGGTGCTCTGCTCTTCTCTTACGTCAGGTTTCTGAGAGGCTCAGGTGACCAGAATGTTTTAGCTTCAGAATCTTTTCCCAAAGAGTCTTAGGTGGAGCCCCGCTGGACTGGCCGGGATATCAGAGCCAGGTGTGACCACGTCCCCACCCTCCCTCTCTCCAGTGGCTGCTGAGGCCCCTCTCCGGAAGCCCCGGGGCACCCCAGAGTGGAGCGCAGGAACACCTCCCCGTCCCCCGTGAGGGCCCAGCCCGGAGCCCCTCCGTCTCCTCCCCGCTTCCACTGGTGGGGTCACTGCTGCTGGGGTACCGGTATCTCAGTGGCTTCTCCGTCCCGCTAGCAGAGCCTCTTCCCACCCCTGCCTGCGCTCACCTTGTGGAGTGAGGAGGGCCACACGTCCCGGGCACTGGGGGCCTCTAGTGTGCTCCTGTGGCCAGTCACCAGGTGAGTGACCCTCAGTGGCCATCATCCGGGGGAGGGGGGACACATGTGCCACACGCCTGCCTTCCTCCCCAGCAGCAGCACCTGTACAGGACCCCAGAGTTGTCCCCTTTCAGGACACAACGGGCCCCTTCCTAGGTCTCTGCCCACCTTTACCCTCCCCCTTCTCAGTGGTCAGAATGAGTCGGCAGACCCAGAGCTGAGAGGAAGCTGCCCACGCCACACGGTGTCCTCAGCAGTGCCAGGGCAGGAGCTCGGCCTCTCTTCCCCACAGCTTGAGCAGTCAAGGTGTCCCTGGTGCTGTAGCTGCTGCCTGTTCAGTGAATGAGGGGCGTTGTTTCCTGGGCGCCGCCTGCAGCGCTGGGGTCCAGGGAAGGGAGGCCAGAGTCTGATGAGACAGGCAGCCTCTGGCCCGGGAGCTCCCCATCCCTGATCGTAGCCAAACAATTGAAATGCTAAGTTAGAAGACACTTAGTTAGAAGACAATGTGAAAGAGAGCAGCAGGCGAGGAGTAGAGGAGCAAAAAGACCCGAGACAGGACCCACGAGGGCCTGTGGTGGCCACGCCCCGGGGGCCCTGTCTGACCTCCGTGACCCATGCTGAGGTGGGGCAAACGTCCTGTTGTACAGATGAGGGATTGAGGCCCAGGGAGGCAGGGCGTCTGCAGAGTCCCTGAGCTGTTTTACTCCGCAGCCCAAGGTCCTGCTGCAGCCCCCACGGGTCCGCAGCGCCCTCTGCAGAAATAGGGCCCAGTTTGAGTCTGTCGAGCGGACACCTGAGTACGTAATCCTCCGGCCTCCTTCGGGTTCTTACGCTGTGCTTGTCACCTCTCCTCAGTTTAAGGCATCCGTGCACAGTGCAGCCCTGCTAAGTTCCTGGTAGCCACCGCCTTCTGGCTGCCAGCCGGTGCTTGGGGTTGACTGAGGAGCCTGGGAAGGATGGTGGCACCGGCCCCTCTGCGGACGCCCGCGCTTGCTGCGGAGATCTTGGGCTGTGTGGGACCTTCAGGCATGCTGATTCTTGTAAAATCGGCCTTCTTCAGTAATCTTGCTTTAGAAGAACGTGTTATGTGTGTTGGTGTTCAAGCACATTTCCTGTGATGGCACGGAACAGGCAGCAATCCTGCGGCCCCCACAAAGGGCAGCACGCACTCTTCACGTCCCCTCTGCCAGCGGGGGGCCCAGAGGGCGTCCAGGCTCCCAGCACCCCATCTTTATGCCCAGGTCCAGGCGCTGGCCCCACACCACCCGGGGCACTGCGCCCCGCGTGCTTTCCCACCCCAGCTGTCTCCCAGTGGCCAGGCAGGTGGAGCGAAGTACGAGGCTGTGGCCCCCAGGTCCTCAGGAGAACCCCGGCAGGGGGCAAGGGAGCTTCAGAGGCGATGGGCCTCATCTAACGGGTGGGGGTAGTGGCTCTCCACGATGTTCCAGGACCCCAAGAGAGGGCTTGCCTCCTCCCCACCCCCAGCCCTTGCTGACGACCCCCCCCCCCAGTCCCGGGACCCTGGTGTCCACACCTCTGACCGTGCATCTGGACTCGGGCCCTCTGGGAGGTCAGGACGGGCTTTTCCTTTCTGGGTGCTTGGGCCCTGCGTTGGGTGGGCACAGAGGAATGTTCCGAAGGCAAGGGTGAGGGCAGCAGTTCCTACAACGGAAAAAGGATCTGCTAAACCCAGGTGCCGGGCCTCAGTGGGTGGGCGGCACGGAATGGGGACATAGCACTGGCTACCCAGTCCTCTAGGCTCTGCGCGCCCAAGAGGGGCCAAGGCTGTCATCCCAGCCCTTCAGTCCCAGGGAGCCTTGGGAGGCAGGAGGGAGAGGGAGCCGGCTCCAAGGAGCGGCCGCTGAGGGCGCAGTGAAGAGTTGAAGCAAGTTACGGCCCCAGGTAGAGCTCGTCAGAGAAGCAGGGACAGCCTCACCCTGCCTGAGCCGCCCTGACTTGGGAGCCAGTGGAAGCCCAGGACAGTGCCATGTGCTTGAAGTGACACTCCCAGCTCCATTCAGGGCCTGTGGTTGTGGATGTGGGGGCATCTATCTATCAGGCCTTTATCAAGGCCTCCAGGTCCTGGGGGCTCTCTGGCTGGTGGGACAGAGGTGACCAGGATGAGGTCTCAGCCCTCTGTGGCAAGAGACAAGTAACCCTGAAGCCACTGAGTGGAGGGATCATGGCTGCAGGAGAGGCCTGTGCAGAGCTCTGTGGCAGAGCAACCTGGAAAACTGGGAGGGCTTCATGGAGGTGGTGATTTTGGAGCTGGGGCTGGGAGGATGAGTAGGAGTTCCCCGACTGGGAACTCTGGCAGGGCTTTCTGGGCAGATGGAAGACTGTGGAGAGGCTGGGGCAGGGCAGGGCGGCCGCCCTGTGGGACGGGCAAGGGACACTCAGGGCCCCCAGGGGCAGTCGTGGTGGCATGTG